GAGTTGCACCTCTGCTGTTGATCTGAATAGCCAAAGTTTTCTCCTTTGGCAGCAATGGAACTCATTCATTCAGGAAACCACTGGGTGCCCTTGTGTTTGTTTTCAATCTGTTTCTGCTACTGTATAATAGTTGTCCTGTGGTTTGGAAGTTCCAGCTCAACTTGGCTCCCTTGGGAAGAATTGTTCCACTACTACACCATCCGCACAAACCAGACTGTTATTGTAGGGATTTGCCCACAAACCTAACAAGCAATGTTTTTGGTTGCGTGCAGCAGGAGGAGAGCGCAAAATATGGTTTGAAGCTCAACATCAAAAAAACGAAGATCATGGCCACTGGTCCCATCACCTCCTGGCAAATAGCAGGGGAAGAAATGGAGGCAGTGAGAGATTTTACTTTCTTAGGCTCCATGATCACTGCAGATGGTGACAGCAGCCACAAAATTAAAAGACGCCTGCTTCTTGGGAGAAAAGCAATGACAAACCTAGACAGCATCTTAACAAGTAGAGACATCACCTTGCCAACAAAGGTCCGTATAGTAAAAGCTATGGTTTTCCCAGTAGTGATGTATGAAAGTGAGAGCTGGACCATAAAGAAGGCTGATCGCCGAAGAATTGATGCTTTTGAATTATGGTGCTGGAGGAGACTCTTGAGAGTCCCATGGACTGCAAGAAGATCAAACCTATCCATTCTGAAGGAAATCAGCCCTGAGTGCTCACTGGAAGGACAGATCCTGAAGCTGAGGCTCCAATACTTTGGCCACCTCACGAGAAGAGAAGACTCCCTGGAAAAGACCCTGATGTTGGGAAAGATGGAGGGCACAAGGAGAAGGGGACGACAGAGGACGAGATGGTTGGACAGTGTTCTCGAAGCTACCAGCATGAGTTTGACCAAACTGCGGGAGGCAGTGGAAGACAGAAGTGCCTGGCGTGCTCTGGTCCAGGGGGTCACGAACAGTCGGACACGACTAAGCGACTAAACAACAACAACAAAAGCAGGAGGATAGGGCAACATATTACAATGGCGCATTTTCCAAAATAAAAATATTCTGCTTCAATTTCTTCCTCGTTTGCACATACTGCCAAAACATTCCTTTGAAATTCCTGCAAAATGCACGAGTTTCTTCTCTGTCCACAAGCTGGCACTGTTTTGCATCCTGTTTGATTCTCTGTGCAGGAAGGAGGGTGGATGGCTGGATGTAGAATTCCAGTCCTTTCCTCAGCCTGACTCAACATCACCCCCAACAGGGCAGAATGAGACAGCTGCACCAGGCTGCAGATTTTGGGCAGTAACTGTTAGTTATTTAATATAAGGGTCCCAATTCTACAATTGATTCTATGATTCTATGGACCACCTGAAAACTGAGTGTCTTGGTGGCTCGCTTAATGATTTCCCCACCTGTTGCAATTGTAATGCATGCTAAATGCTGTGTGGGTTTTTATTGCTTCTTTCATTTCTTATACAGTGGTGCCTCGGTTTAAGAACAGCCCTGTTTATGAACTATTCAGTTTACAAACTCCACAAAACCAGAAGTAGCGTCCTGGTTTGCGAACTTTACCTCAGTCTAAGAACGGAAGCCGAACGGTGAAAGGGCACTGGTGGTGGGAGGCCATTAGGGAAAGTGCGCCTCGGTTTAAGAACAGACTTCCGAAACGGATTAAGTTCGTAAACCAAGGTACCTCTGTATATTGTATTTTGTTGCATTTCATTTTGAATTCCATAGAATTAAGTGAATTAAGTGTCCTGAGTCAGCCTTTTGAGCCCATCTGGGCGATTTCAGTCATTATTCTATGCCTACAAAAATACCCAAAATCAGTTTTCAAATTCATTTGTAATTCTACCTACCAGGGAAGCAACATGGATACGTGATTTCTTCCTCAATGCAGAAACACTGGTCTGCCAAATAGCTATCAGACCTTCCTCCTGGAAAGTTCACGTTAAAGTAAATCATGTGGATCAGAATTCTCCCATGTTGTAGAGATAACAACCATAAAATCATTACTCATGAAGTTGTGCTCTCTCTCCTGATCCATCTCTAAAGAAACAGAATGCTACAGAGCAAAAGGCATTTGGGTATCATTAGCAAATTTGAATTACCCTCCCAGGTAATATAAAAGTGTTGTCATTTTTGTTGTTAAACTATACTTTTCTATGCAGCTCACATGCATAAAATGCTAACATGCAATTAAAATAACAATACAGTGGTACTTTGGTTCTCGAACTTAATCCATTCTGGAAGTCCGTTCGACTCCCGAAACTGTTTGAAAACTAAGGTGTGGCTTCCGATTGGCTGCAGGAGCTTCCTGCACACAAGCGGAAGCTGTGTCAGACATTCGGCTTCTGAAAAACGTTTGAAAACCGGAACACTCATTTCTGGGTTTTCGGCGTTTGGGACCTGATTTGTTCAACAACTAAATCGTTCGAGAACCAAGGTACCCCGGTATCCTAAAATAAAAACTTGCAGCAAAGAAACTCCAGCAGAGAGAATAAGGTCAAAGTAAATAAATAAAAAATGTACAGCCACATGAAACAGTAAAAAGTAAAATGTTACTACCTGGGACCGTTTTTATGAAGTCTTGGTGCAGGAATGACCAGGCAAGCCTCTGCAGGGAGGCTATTCTACAGTGGTGCCATCACTGAGAAGGCCATCTCTCTGGTACGTTTACCTTCCCACTGCAGTGGTACCTATTTATCTACTTGCACTGCCGTGCTTTCAAACTGCTAGGTGGGCAGGAGCTGGGACAGAGCAACAGGAGCTCACCCTGTCGCAGGGATTTGAACCGCTGACCTTCTGATTGCCAAGCCCAAGAGGCTCAGTGGTTTACACCACAGCTCCACCCACATTCTACTCTGGAGTAAGAATATGGGAGCCAGCTGTACATCATCTAGCCTAATGAGAGGACCCTTCCCCTCTGAACTGCATTCAATGGTAAAAAGAGGTGTGGGATATAGCTATTAATGATAAATTAACATGTGCCATTAAGGTAAGATGAGGAATATGCAGGAGAAATTATTTTGAGGAGATGTGGAAGGTGTTTGTAGAATTTGTACTGTTAAAACGGAAAGGGGTCAAACCATTGCAAGAGGGGTTGAAATTTTGGGAGGTTGGATAGTTACAATGGAATGGTCTCAGCAGTGGGGTGTACATTTTTATTCTTGTTTATTTATGATTATTACTTTGATAAAATAAACTAATTTTTAAAAAGAGTAAATTAAAATGTGTTTGTTTTTTTAATTGAACTGCATTCAAGTCAGGCTCCTTGGAATGTAGGAAGACCAATACCAGAAACTTTATTGTCAGTTAACTTGTGTTTTGATTTGCACTTACGTACATAATCCTAGACCAGTTTTCTTAAAAATAATTATAATATTTATAATATAATTTTATTATTTGAACCCTGCCCACCTGACTGGCTTGCTCCAGCCACTCTGGATTGCTTCCAACATATACAAAACCATAATAGAACATTACACATTAAAAAGCTTCCCTATTTAGAAATTGTTGGTTTGGGGCCTTTTATATATATATATATAATTTACTGATGTTCTCTGTATTTCATATATTTGCATTTTTGGAAAGTTTGCTGTGAGCCAGTTTGGGAAAGTGACATATAAGCAAACTCAATCAATGGTATACAGCATGGGTAGGCAAACTAAGGCCCGGGGGCCAGATCCAGCCCAATCGCCTTCTAAATCCAGCCCGCGGACGTTCCGGGAATCAGCGTGTTTTTACATGAGTAGAATGTGTGCTTTTATTTAAAATGCATCTCTGGGTTATTTGTGGGGCCTGACTGGTGTATTTACATGAGTAGAATGTGTGCTTTTATTTAAAATGCATCTCTGGGTTACTTGTGGGGCATAGGAATTCGCTCACCCCCCAAAAAAAATATATATAGTCCGGCCCCCACAAGGTCTGAGGGACAGTGGAAAAAGTTTGCTGACCCCTGGTATACAGTATAAGCCTAAGGTGATAAAAGGTGATCTGATCTACAAAGGCCACTTGGTCCTGTAACGACAGGACTGGATCAACAAGCACCCCAAACTGGGAATCAGATTCTTACACAGGATGCAACCTGCTCTAGAACAGGGATAAGCAGAAGTTAGCTTGGAATTACTTCCAGAACTCAGTGCGGCTTGCGGTAGATTGGCAAGGATTTCTACCCTCTTGTTAAACAGCAACAACACATACACACAAAATTAAGCCGCCAGAATGAAGAAAACTGGGGAAGGAAAAGGGGTGCTGCTTTAGTGCAATGGGTATCCTCTATCATCATACTGGTGAGGAACTGCCATCATTTTGTCCGACATCATTTGGTCTTACTACCAGCCTTGGGATTTGGCCATTTTGGGTAAAAAACATTCACCTTTCTCAAGCTGGAATTCAGCTGATGTAGCTTCATTAATGTGTGACCCCGAAATTCCGGACCCCACCCAATTGATGCCAAAGTTTGGTGCTAATTTTGTGCCACAAACCCGTTTTGTGCCACCACCCCCCAAATCAAGCAATTGACAAATCAAATCGGGGTCACTGGTTAACCCCAACTGACTTCAAACATGTCACATGTGGGAAAGCTCTGGGACCCCCTTCTAAATCCAAAGTGTGCATTCTTTATTCTTTCGTTACAGCTGTCGCTTAAATTGGGTGCTTTTAAAATCTAGTGCCTTTTTCTAACACCCATGGCAACAGAAATATGCACCAGCGTCAAAAAGTCCAGAATTCTCGCCTCTTTCCCCCGGCCTTTGATACCTGGGACATGTGCTCTCAGGACACACACACACCTCAAAAAAATTTCCGCGACTGCAATTTGTTTTAACTGTTCTTAATACTGAATTTTAACTTGTAACCCGCTTTGGGACCCACTGATGAAGTTTAGCACGCTACACCTCACGGTCCACAGGGTGGACTGTGCGGAGGCCCGGACTAGGACAGCACTTTTGTCCTGGGGGGCGGGGCGGGGGGAGAACTTCGCCAGTTGCAGCTTCCCCCTTCTACCCTACCAACACAGTTTTCCCAAGGCAGCGAGAAATGGCTGGGATTCCCCCTGGCTTTTACGCAGAGCCTTCTCCCTCCGGCCTCGGACGTGGCAGCACAACTGAGAGCCAACGGCTCGGCTGGCTTTCGTCGGGAGCAGCTCCGATTGAACCCGGGGAGCTCGCTTCCAAGTCGATACGGCTTGGATCCCATCCGGCTTCCTTTTCCCTGGACGGAGCGGGGCTGCGCCGGGAGGAGCGACCAGAGCGGGGCTGGCCGGACCAGGCCAGGCTGGAAGAGGGCGGTGGGCGAGACCCACTTCGCTTCTGGCTCCGGGCCTGGAGGAGCGACGCCCAGGCGGGTCTCTGCCCCGAGGCAGCTGCTGCCGCTGCAGCCACCGCCCCCGAACACGCCCCTCCCCTCGACGGGACGCTCTCGCTCCGCCCCATCGGGTTGCCCGAGCATTTCGGGGGCGGGGGGACCCGGAGGAAAGCTTCGCCCAGCGCCTCCGGGGCCGGCGAGCGCGGGGTTGGCTCTCCCTCCGCCGCCCGTCCGCCCCGTCGTGCCGGACTTTGGCCCCGCTCCTTGGCCCCGCCTCGTGGGGAGAGGCGCCAGGGGTCCTTCCCAAGTGGCCCCGGCCCGAGGCTGCTGCGCTCTCGTGCGCTCTCGTGCGCCCTGAGCGCCACCGGAGCTGCTCTTTGTTCCAACGCTGATGCCGAGGCGAGGAAACTTTGTTTGTTTGTTTGTTTGTTTGCGCTCCTTGCCAGGCGGCCCGCCCCTCCCCCCCTCCTTCGATCCCTGAGAAGATCCGGATTGCAGAGGACTTCCAGGAGCCGACGGGAGCCCCTGCCCCACCCTGGCGCTCCAAGTCCTGCTTTCTGCCCTCTCCAGCCGCTCTCACCAGGGACTAGAAGACTTGGCGTCTTCCTCCCCGGTGACTGAACCCCAGCGCGGCTCTGCTCTCCTCCCCCAGGGACCCGAGGCTCTGGACTGGGTTTGAACCGCATGGACTGAGGAGCTGGATTCCGCCCGATCCCGCAGCGGCAGGTTGCTCTGCAAAGATCATGCAAAAAGATCCCGACGCGCTCCTCCACGCCCTGTCCCGGCAGCCGCTCAGCGCGGAGCCTCTGGCTTGGCCTCGCCACCAGGGCGACGTCCAGGTGACGGTGCGGAGGCCCAGATCCCGAGCTGGGGACTTCGCTGCTCCCAGGGCTGCGCTGAGGAAGACCTTGGTGGCTGTGGATGTCGTGTGCCTGCTCGTGGGTGAGTGGGGCGCGGAGGGGCTGGGATTTTACTGGCCAGGTAACCAGGAAAGTGGGAATTTGCCAATTAGCTTTCTCGAGATGAAATCCTGAATCCAGGCAAAGGTTTCTCTTGATCCCCCTAATTAGTGATTTGCAATTGCTTAATTTTTTTTGTTTGTGTTGGCGTCTTATGGCGTTTCGCTCATTTCACCTTCTGGTTATTTGCACATCTGGTAATGCAGCATGGAGCAGTATTAAGATCACCAGGCAGCCAGTGCTCATTTCTTCAGCTTTTCACAGAATCATAGAGCTAGAAGGCACCCTGAGGGTCATTTAGTTCAACCCCCTCCAATGCAGGAATCTTTTGCCCAACCTGGTGCTCGAACCTACAACCCTGATATGAAGTCTGACTGATGCCAGTTCTGCAAGCTGGAAGGGTCTATCTAAATCGGAACATGTGCAGCCCAACACTCTGCTCAAATATTCTTGTAATTCATGGAGCACTTTGCTTTGGTCCTTGGCAATTACTGCAAGGGACATTAAAGGTAAAGGGACCCCTGACCATTAGGCCCAGTCGTGGCCGACTCTGGGGTTGTGGTGCTCATCTCGCTTTACTGGCCGAGGGAGCCGGCGTACAGCTTCTGGATCATGTGGCCAGCATGACTAAGCCGCTTCTGGTGAACCAGAGCAGCGCACGCAAACGCTGTTTACCTTCCCGCTGGAGCGGTACCTGTTTATCTACTTGCACTTTGATGTGCTTTTGAACTGCTAGGTTGGCAGGAGCTGGGACCGAGCAACGGGAGCTCACCCCGTTGTGGGGATTCGAACCACCTTCTGATTGGCAAGTCCTAGGCTCTGTGGTTTAACCCACAGCGCCACCCGCAAGGGACATTAAGACTCCATATATTCAGCCCAGCTAGTACAGGAATACCTTAATCTCTTTCCCACTGAGAGTCAAGTTTAAGACACTAACAGCAGCATAGTTCTTTCTTTACTCTTTTGACCAGTGCTTTGAGTTGTTGGGCTAGAGGCTGCTGTTGAGATCCCAGCTAAGAAGTAATAATAATAATAATAATATATTATTATACCCCACCCATCTGGCTGTGTTTCTTCCAGCCACTCAGGGACCATGCTGGATACCTGGAAGCCATGTGGAGGATTTGAGGAATTGTAGCAGTGGCATTTCTTCTCTGGCTCTTTAATTCCAGATGCCACTGCATGATTCCTGGAGGGGAACTGCTATGATTAAAACACCCTGACTGGTACACACACACACACACACACACATCTTTGCATTGGAAGCTCTTCAGCTTTTATTTCTGACTTTTGGCCCTGTTCTTCCCTGGTAGACTTTTAGCAACACATTGCAAAGATGTGCACATGGAAGAACCCAAGGCACCCGGTTTGTGATCAGAGGTGACCTTGCCTTGAGTCAAGGTGAGGAGGCTGCCTTCAGGGCAGAACTACACATGAGAAGGAGCCCATTCAGCTTTCCTGGTTAATGATAATACAGAGGAGGGGCCATCTTCAGAGGAGATCTGGTAGGTGGAAGGGCAGGGCTTCCTGCTTCCTCACACCCACTGGTTTTCCCAAACCACCCCTCCCCTTCTTTCCCCAGTCAGGCATATTTCTGGTCACGGGTCATGGGGGAGAACTGGTGAGTGGAGAAGGGTTAATTACCCCTGAAATCTGTGCTTTTGTAAGGAATCTAGTTTCTCCCTTAGATGTTGGATTTTCAGATGCCTGGCCCATGGGGCACAGTTGCTCTATTAAGCCCTGGTGTAATCAGTAATAATAATAATAACAGTAATAATAATAATAATAAATAATGTATTACTTATACCCTGCCTATCTGGATGGTCCTCCCCAGCTACTCAACAGAATATTTAAAACATGATAAAACATCAAACATTAGATGTTTTCCTAAACAGGGCTGCCTTCTGATGTCTTCTAAAAGTCAGATAGTTTTTTATTTCCTTGACATCTGATTGGAGAGTGTTCCACAGGGCAGGTGCCACTACCAAGAAGGCCCTTTGTCTGGTTCCCTGTAACCTCACTTCTCGCAGTGAGGGAACCACCAGAAGTCCCTCAGAGCTGGACCTCAGTGGGCTGAACGTTGGGGGTGGAGACATTCTTTCAGGTATACTGGGCCGAGGCCGTTTAGGGCTTTAAAGGTCAGCACCAACACTTTGAATTGTGCTTGGAAACGTACTGGGAGCCAATGTAGGTCTTTCAGGACCGGTGTTATATGGTCTCAGCCACTCCAAGTCACCAGTCTAGCTGCCACATTCTGGATTAATTGTAGTTTCTGGGTCACCTTCAAAGGTAGCCCCATGCAGAGAACATTGCAGTAGTCCAAGCAGGAGATAACTAGAGCGTGCACCACTCTGGCGAGACAGTCCGCGGGCAGGTAATAAACCTATGGTCAGAGTTTAATGAAATGTCATGCTGGAGTCATTGCCCTAGTGCATCCAGCCATCCTATCTTACTTTTAGCTTGCTCTGCGTGGTTTAATGCAAATGTTGGTTTCCGATTCAACTAAGTATGGAGAAAGGCAAGAAGCTTTGGGGGTTCAAAACTCAACCCCTAGAAACCTAATCCAGCAACTCTTATGGCTTATGCCATTCCCCCAGGCACAGCCCATTTGTTCCCTAATCATTGCGCCAAAACCTCAGGCCTAGAAACTTACTTGGTTGCAGTTTAATTAAGACTGATTTTCCCAGGGAACTCAATTCTATCCCCCAATACCAGATTTGGGGTTTATACAACCCCTTAATTACCTGCTGGATGGTGTTGATGAATACATAAGGGAGTTGAGGGGAAACTTGGGAAGGCACCTTGATCAAGGGGCTGGGCTCAGAAGCGGGAAACGCAAGTTCAAATCCCTGCTCAGCCAGAGAACTCTTGCTCCCGTCTCTTTAAATCGTTTTCTGGCCAGGTTCCCAACTGGAAGTAGCTTGGAAGTAGAGGAGGGAGGAGGTGTCAGGAGGGAAGCATTTGAGAATTGAGACTGATGGGAAGTGGAAGCCACTGAGGTAGGAAACCATAGCTCTAGCGCAGGGGTCAGCAAACTTTTTCAGCAGGGGGCCGGTCCACTGTCCCTCAGACCTTGTGGGGAGCCGGACTATATTTTGAAGGGGGGAAAAGAATGAATTCCTATGCCCCACAAATTATCCAGAGATGCATTTCAAATAAAAGGACACAGTCTACTAATGTAAAAACACACTAATTCCCGGACAGTCTGCAGGCTGGATTGAAAAGGCGATTGGGCCAGATCCGGCCCCCGGGCCTTAGGTTGCCTACCCATGCTCTAGCCCAGGGGTCAGCAAACTTTTTCAGCAGGGGGCCAGTCCACTGTCCCTCAGACCTTGGGGGGGGGCAGACTATATTTTTGGGGGGAGGAATGAGCAAATTCCTATGCCCCACAAATAACCCAGAGATGCATTTTAAATAAAAGCACACATTATGCTCATGTAAAAACATCAGACAGGCTCCACATTTTAAATAAAAGGACACAGTCTACTCATGTAAAAACATGCTGATTCCCGGACTGTCTGTGGGCCGGATTTAGAAGGCGAATGGGCTGGATCCGGCCCCCTGGCCGTAGGTTGCCTACCCCTGCTCTAGCCGCTAGCGGGACAGGGGACAGTGTGGCCCTATTCATTCCCCACCTCTGCTGCAGCAAGGGCAAGAGTCTTCCGCTGTAGAACAAACAAAACTGAGGCAGTGTGTCATGCAAAAACCAACGTCTGTCTTCTTTCATGCTTCCCTGGTTATTCTGGCCCGGATGTCACCAATATGCCACTCTGCGTGTGCCTGCAGAGGCCTTCCCCATTGTCCATAGGGTGCCTTGCCCTTTCCTCTGATGAAATTAGGCCTTTCAGGGGCTAATGCAATAGGTTGGGTGCGAGGTGTTTGGTGTGGTACCCATAGCAGTTTCTGCAGTTTGCAAATGGGCCCATGGGCCCCAAAAGAGGGAAACGTGAGTCAACTGAAATATTTACTGGATCTCTCTCTTTTTTATACAGTCATACCTCATGTTACGTTTGCTTCATGTTATGTTTTTTCAGATTGTGTCCCACAGTGACCCAGAAGTACTAGAAAGAGTTACTTCTGGGTTTCGCCGCTCACACATGCGCAGAAGCGCTAAATCATGCTTCGCGCATGCGCACAAGCACCAAATCGTGCCGCGCACCTGCACAGATACGGTGCTTCAGGTTGCGGGCTTTTCATGTTGTTAACGGGCCTCCGGAACGGATCCCATTCGCAACCAGAGGTACCACTGTATAACAATTTATTGATTTAACAAAAAATAACAATACAAAAACAAAGCAAAACAAAACAAATTGACTTCCCTCTAGTCCCTTCCTTGGTTCCATAATTTATCAATATACTTCATGTCCATTGTTCAGTTTGAAACCTTATTTAAATTACTTATTATCCATTCATAACAAAATTACAAGTAATTTTAAAACCCTGCTAATGTATTAACTGTGCACAATGCTTCTGTATATATGCAATAAACACCTTCCACTCTTCCTTAAATTCATTGTCATCTCTTCGTCTCAGTTTCATTGTCAATTCTGCCATTTCAGCATATTCCATTAATTTAACTTGCCAGTCTTCTTTAGCTGGGACTCTTTCTTCTTTCCAGGGTTGTGCTAATAATGTTCGTGCAGCCATAGTTGCATACATAAATAAATTCTTTTGTGATTTTGGTAGATTCACTCCTATAATACCTAATAGGAAAGCTTCTGCTTTTTTAAACAAAGTTTATTTTAAACATCTTCTTCATTTCATTATAAATCATTTCCCAATATTTCTTTATGATTTTACAGTCCCACCACATATGGAAAAATGTCCCTTTACTGGATATCTCAAAAGGACATCATAAGCGACTCCTGCTGGAGCAGACCAAAGTCCTCTCTAGCCCAGCACCCTGTTTTCCACAGTGGCCAACCAGAGGCCTAAGGGAAGACCACGAGCAAGGCATATACCATATTTTTCGCTCTGTAAGATGCACTTTTCCCCTCCTAAAAAGTAAGGGGGGATGTGTGTGCGTCTTATGGAGCGAATGCAGGCTGCACAGCTATCCCTGAAGCCAGGAGAGCAAGAGGGATCGGTGCGGAACGATACCCCTTGCTCTCCTGGCTTCAGGGATAGCCGCGCAAAGCCTCTTCGCTCAAGAGGCTTTGCGTTGCTTTCTTGTTTTCCTCCTCTAAAAACTAGGTGCGTCTTATAGAGCGAAAAATACGGTAATGAAGAGCCCACCTGGGTACAACTTCTAGGGTAGTTGCAACTACAGTGGTACCTCGGGTTAAGAACTTAATTCGTTCTGGAGGTCCGTTCTTAACCTGAAACTGTTCTTAACCTGGGGTACCACTTTAGCTAATGGGGCCTCATCCTGAAGCAAAGTTCTTAACCGAAGGTTCTTAACCCAACGCTCCCCCTGTCCTGAAGAGGCTTGGCGCGGCTATCCCAGAAGCCGGAACAGCAAGAGGGATCGCTGCTTTCACTGCGCATCGATCCCTCTTGATGTTCTGACTTCGCTTTGCTGGAGAGGCGCTGCTTTCCCTCTCTGCGCAGCGCCCCTTCAGCGAAGCAGGAGGAGAAATGGAAGGGGCTCCATTTCTCCTGCGGCTTCGCTGAAGGGGCGCTGCACAGAGAGGGAGAACTGCGCAACGCCCCTTCCGTTTCTCTTCCCACTTTGCTGGAGAGGCGCTGCGCAGAGAGGGAGAGAATATTTTTTTCTTGTTCTCCTCCTCTAAAACTAGGTGCGTCTTATGGTCGGGTGCTTCTTATAGAGCAAAAAATACGGTAATACATTTGATGGTTTTTTGTTGTTTGTTTTTGTGTTTAAAAACACATTATTTTGAGGTAAAAACACCTGAAAAAACAGTTGGTCTGTTGCATTGTAAGCTGTAGTTGTAGCAGAGGGAAAGGGAGAGAAGGGAAGAAAGGAGAGGAACTGTTTGTACCATCGCTGCCATGGTAAGGTTATCTGTTTCCATAAAGTTCAAGGAAGCCTGTGTCTCAGTGAGCTTCTGTCTATAAAGGCAAGCATTTATATAGTGCTTTAGGGTGTTCAAATGGCTTAACGTCCACTAGATTTTTTTAAAAAAATCTTTTAACAAACTTGTAAGTTAGATCAACTGTGTTATACCCAATTTGCAGATACAGCAACTGAGGCTGAGAGAGTAGATTGCCTAAGGGTATCCTATTAGTTCATGGCGGAGGAAGTAAGATCCTTAATTGCTGGCTGTAGATGTTTAAGGGCAGAGGGTTCACCTCATTCTAGTGCCATAACAATAGTACAAGTGTTGTTAACCAGGATTTGAAATTAGCAGGCACATTTTGCACCTAAAGATTTTCCATTTGCATGTACCTCAAAAAGTCTGGGTGCCATTTTTTGTGCCGGGCTGACACTCAAAGATTACTGAAATGTATGTGCTTTGAAGCCTCCTTAAAGTACATTAAGGAGTTTAACAATAAAGGGTAGTGTTTTGAAAACTGAAGTATGGTACCAATATTTTTATTGTAAACACCAAATTAAACATGTATTAACAATTTATGTTTAAAAAGTGATACTAACAATGTGTCACTTATGTGAAGCATGTATTAGTTCATGCTTATCAAAATAATAAATAAAAAGTGTTGCCTATACCCCCCCCTCTCCAAATGGCGACTAGATATTCTGTTTTGGCACCCACAACCCAGGTCCCAGGAGCCATTTGGCTCCTAGCTTTTCTGGCCCAGTTTCTAACACTGTTGTTAATGTTTAAATGTGGCCAGATCCCTGTGAAAGAAGCTGAGTAGATTGGCTGTGCTCTGTTTGCATAGAAACCAATGGATCCTTTCTCCCCCACTTAGCTATTGCCAAGGCAATATGTACTCTGTGCTTACAAAAAAAATAAATAGTCAAAGTTCTGCACCAGAAATGTTTGGATTTTGTAACCTTGGAATATGCAAATTAAGCAAAATGTGCCTATAGATATACAGTGGAACCTCGGTTTTTGAACGTAATCCATTCCGGAAGACCGTGTGACTTCAAAAATGTTCGAAAACTGAAAGAGGAAGCCTCAATTCGATAGGTAAACTCAAAACAGAAGCTGCGTAGCACGTTCGGCTTCCAAAAATCGTTCGAAAACCAAAGCAATTATTTCTGGGTTTTCAGTGTTCGGCTTCCAAAACGTTCGTCAATGGAGCCATTTGAGAACTGAGGTTCCACTGTATATTTTTTTCCTTGGTTTTAATGTATCCATGTGGCTTTGGCTTTTTTGTTTTGTTTCTTTGGTTGCAAGTCACTTTGAGTTGCTTGGGGCAAGAAAACGCAACTGACAAATTTAAGAAATAATACGTTGGCAAATTTTGCATGGTTTGTAATCATCTAGTAGGCAAAAGGGACACACAAGAGGCGTCCTCAGACCCCTGGAAAGCCCAATGGAAACTCATTTGGTGTCTGAAATTCCTCTGAACTTTTAAATGCCAGGTGGGGAGAATATGAAGAGGAGTTACTTAGGACTCCCATTTTTTGCCCCATCACCTAATTCTCCGCTTATGTGAAACATGACGGAATTTCACAGTGCCCAGCCCTTGGCACTGTGAGCCTCTAAAGGGCTAGAGCAAAACTTTGCCAGGAGCAAAACTATCCTATTAGAGGGAGGCATTGTCCCTTCACACTGATCCTTGGATGCCAGTCCTGTGAGCTGCTGCCTCTATGCAGCCATGCCATCAGGGCAGGACTTAGCAGAATGAACTCGCTATGTTTTGAACCAAGGGAAGTACCGTATTTTTCGCTCTATAAGACGCACCAGACTATAAGACGCACCTAGTTTTTGGAGGAGGAAAACAAGAAAAAAAATATTCTGAATCCCAGAAGCCAGAACAGCAAGAGGGATCTGGCTTCTGGGATAGCCTCTTGCTGTTCTAGCTTCTGGGATAGTCACACGAAGCCTCTTCCGGGCAGGCTAAGCCAGGATGAAGGCTTCCCCTGCCTGGAAGAGGCTGCGCATGGCTATCCCATAAGCCAGGACAGCAAGCAGGATCGCTGTGCAGCGATCCCTCTTGCTGTCCTGGCTTATGGGATAGCCGCCGAAGCCTCTCCTGGGCAGTGGGATGAAGGCTCCCCCAAGAGTCGTGCTCCCTTTAAAGAGCGTGCGGAGCGTGTGTGCGGCTCTTGGGGGCTTTTCCCTGAGAAGAGAGTAGGGCTGCCCTTCTCCCTCCTCAGGGAAAAGCCCCCAAGAGCCGCACACACACTCCACACGGCTCTTTAAAGGGAGCACTGAGCAGAGCCTCCTGCCTGCATTTGCTCCATAAGATGCACACACATTTCCCCTTATTTTTTAGGAGGGGGAAAGTGCGTCTTATAGAGTGAAAAATATGGTAATACACAAGCCCTTCCCATCTGAGGAAGGAGCCCTGCAAGGCAATTTGAAGTAAGCTGTGATCATGCACAGTCCTGCTGAGAGGAGCTTCCAACCAAAACTGCAAACCCAGATTTCAGCAGGGGTGTGATGGCCTGGGACTCGGGCTCGGAACCAGAGGAGTCTCAGTCCGCACCGGATCCTTTGCCTCAGGCATCATCTGAACCAAGTCTGGGGCCAGATTCTGAAGAGCCCCAGTCTGCACAGGTTCCCCTGCAACAAGCACCCGCTAGGCCGAGTCAGGGGCCTGAGCCTGCCCTGGCTCCAGATGCGGGGATTCCCTCGTTGCCTCCAGCTGGGCCATCACTTACAGCTGCTCCACTACCGGTTTGGTCAGAGGAGGCTGAGGCGGCCCCTGGGTCTAGTAACCCACCGACGTCTCCCGAGCTGCAGAGACTAAGGTCTGAGAGAAGGAGAGACCTGAGTACTCGCAGGAGGAGTGCTTGCCTTTGGGCGAAACAGGGAGGTCAGTCCCCGGGGGATCAGGACTGGCTGTTACCCCGACAAAGATAAAAGGCTGTCAGACCTCGCCGCAGGCTGTGGGAGCAATATTGCTGTATGCCAGATCCTGCCTGAGATCCTGTACCTGTCCTTGCCTGGTTTCCTGCCTCAAGTCCTGCCTTGATCCTGTCGGACTGACTCCTAGCGGAACCTTCGGATTCTGGACTGGACCTGAATCACGGTTCTCGGATTACCCCCGGGCCCAGCACAAGTGGTCAGCTGCAGCCAAGAGTTCCCAGTGAGATTTGTAGGGATCCACTGGAGATCTCTGATTGGGAGCTACCAAGTGAAGCCACTTGGTATTTGACACCAGTTTTAAAAGGTGCCACCTACAGCCCCTGTTGCCAAGGAACAATCAAGAGCTCATTTACACTTTCCCAGCCACATCTTTTATATGCCTGTTGTCTTTGTCCATGGAGTTTTTTTGGCAGGGATACTGGAGTGGCTTGCCGGTTCCTGCTCCAGGTGGATCACGTTTAGTCAAAACTCTCCACTATGACTTGTCCGCCTTGGGTGCCCTGCACGGCATAGCTCAAAGCTTCTCTGCATTATTCAAGCCCCTTCACCACGACAAGGCAGTGCTTTTTCTTGGGTTCCATGATCACTGCAGATGGTGACAGCAGTCATGAAATTAAAAGACGCCTGCTTCTTGGGAGAAAAGCAATGACAAATCTAGACAGCATCTTGAAAAGCAGAGACATCACCTTGCCGACAAAGGTCCGTATAGTTAAAGCTATGGTTTTCCCAGTAGTGATGTATGGAAGTGAGAGCTGGACCATAAAGAAGGCTGATCGCCAAATAATTGATGCTTTTGAATTATGGTGTTGGAGGAGATTCTTGAGAGTCCCATGGACTGCAAGAAGATCAAACCTCTCCATTCTGAAGGAAATCAGCCCTGAGTGCTCATTGGAAGGACAGATCGTGAAGCTGAGGCTCCAATACTTTGACCACCTCATGAGAAGAGAAGACTCCCTGGAAAAAACCCTGATGTTGGGAAAGATTGAGGGCACAAGGAGAAGGGGACGACAGAGGACGAGATGGTTGGACAGTGTTCTCGAAGCTACCAGCATGAGTTTGACCAAACTGCGGGAGGCAGTGGAAGACAGGAGTGCCTGGCGTGCTCTGGTCCATGGGGTCACGAAGAGTCAGACACGACTAAATGACTAAATAACAGCCATATCTTTTACCTGTCCCATCAGAACTGTGTGATATTGGGTGACAGGCTGATAGGGTGTGGTTTGGGGAAAACAGCCTTGCAGACCAAATTAGGGTCCCTGACAGGCCTGATCCAGGGGTCAGATATCAGTTTCCTGGAGGATCACATAGCCTACAGCCCCTGCTCATAACCTCTGCAGCCCCTGCTCATATTGATGAGACTTTTTCAGAACTTCTTAGCAGGTTGTACAAATGGAAGCAGTGTTAGAAACTCAGGTATTTAAGCTAGGCACCGAATGACTCCTTACACCAAGGCTACAGTCTCCAAAATGGAAAGTCTAGTTGTCTTTTGGGGCAAGACATCTCTAAAGTCTTGTTTTTCAAAGGATTGACTGACTGCGATTGATTATCAGTTAAACATCTGGCTAGTTCAGATGACAACCTTGAGCTCGGTTAAGAGCTTTGAGAACTGAAAGAAGAAAACTCTATCCAGGGACAGTCCACCTATATATTGGGCTATTCCTATCTCTTTTTCTTAATGGTGACACAGACCATTCATAACATAGGAATATTCTTCACAACTGTGAGCAGGGCACTGGGGTGGGGTAAGTGAAGACAAGGGGCAACAATTAACTATAACATTGTTCACTGCTCCTGCTCAGGCTGCACAGAAAAAGCATGGATCCTGAAATTCATTCTGATTGCTCAGATAAAATATACGTAACTGATAAACTTCTACAGGATGTAGTATTAGTATGTGAAAGCAGCCAAAATCCAATGACCTCCAGGTATGCACCTCCAGATGGTGGAGATGTCAGGCACAACCCTGATGACCAGGCATCTTCACTGGGTCACAAGTGGTTAATAGCCAGGTGAAAAAGCACCTAGCGCCTGACTAATTTCTAACATTGGGTGGAAGGCGTGACTTGTAGCTTGTCTGTAGCAGGAAGAAGGGCCGGCTCTCTGTCCTGAGGAAACTTGGGAGTTTAGGGAGTTTCCCATCCTTACCTTTGCTGGTGATGCATTGCGGGGTGGACAGCCGTAGTATGGACCCTGCAGGATGGGAATCCATATTGGAATCCATTGGTACCTTGGGTTAAGAACTTACCGTATTTTTCGCTCTATAGGACGTACCTGACTATAGGACGCACCTTGTTTTAGAGGGGGAGAACAAGAATAAAAATTCTCCCCCTCTCTGCGCAGCGCCCCTTCAGCGAAGCGGCAGGAGAAACAGAGCCCCTTCCATTTCTCCTCCCGCTTAGCTGAAGGGGCACTGCACCTTAGCTGAAGGGGCACCTACCCTTCAGCGAAAGGAACCCAAAGCCTGGAGAGCGAGAGGGGGTCGGTGTGCACCGACCCCTCTCGCTCTCCAGGCTTCAGTGAAGGCAACCCGAAGCCTCCGGAGAGTGGCGGGAGTGCTCCCACTGCACTTCGGAGGCTTCGCGTTGCTATCGCTGAAGCCAAGGAGCCTGCATTCGCTCCATAAGACGCACACACATTTCCCCTTAATTTTTGGAGGGGAAAATGTGCGTCTTATAGAGCGAAAAATACAGTAATTCGTTCTAGAGGTCCGTTCTTAACCTGAAACTGTTCTTAACCTTAGATACCACTTTAGCTAATGGGGCCCACCACACTGCCGCCATGCAATTTCTGTTCTCATCCTGAAGCAAAGTTCTTAACCCGAGGTACTATTTCTGGGTTAGCGGAGTCTGTAACCTGAAACATATGTAACCTGTAGCGTCTGTAACCCGAGGTACCACTGTACAGCACTGGGACATGTGCTCCTCAAACCTAGACAGAGAACCCGGGGAGCAGGTTTGCCTTAAGGTTGCAGAGGAAGGGCAATCTGAAGGCAGAACTTGATTGCAGGAAAATGTTTCAGGGATGGGTCCGATTGATTTGCAGTCTGGCAAGAACAAGGGCTTAGGGAAGCAGCTGGCTGGCAGGCAGGCAACCTGGTAGCATTGGCATTAGGGAGATCGGGTGGCCATGGAACTGGCTGGTGCAGAGGCAGCCAGGAAGAGGTGGAGTGATAAATCTCAGCCCATGGGGGAAATGTGGTCCTTCAGGGTTCTCCACCTGGTCCTCAGGATTCTATCTAGGCCACGCCCACTTGCCAGGCCACACCCCTCACCAACCCACCTCAAGTGTCAGGAATGTGTCTTTTACTGAGGTGTTGCCCTGCTTACTTGCCTGGATGGAGAGGGGAGGCTTAAAGGGTAAAGGTAAAGGGACTCCTGATCATTAGGTCTAGTCATGACCGACTCTGGGGTTGCGGCGCTCATCTTGCTTTATTGGCCGAGGGAGCCAGCGTACAGCTTCTGGGTGATGTGGCCAGCATGACTAAGCCGCTTCTGGCCAACCATAGCAGTGCACGGAAACGCCGTTTACCTTCCTGCCGGAGTGGTACCTATTTATCTACTTGCACTTTATGCTTTTGAACTGCTAGGTTGGCAGGAGCAGGGACCGAACAACGGGAGCTCACCTTGTCACGGGGATTCGAACCGCCGACCTTCTGATCAGCTAGTCCTAGGCTCTGTGGTTTAACCCACAGCACCACTCGCGTCTCTTTTGAGGCTTACAATAATACAAATCTTTATTACGTTCATAGACCAGCATTTAAAATCTAAAAAGCGCTTTAGAAAGCTAAAAAGTATTAAAACACAAGGTGAATATAAAAGTCTATAAGAATTTAAAAGAAGCTAAAAGAATCCAGAAGAAAGCTCAGGAACATTGGGCAGGTGTGGAAGAGCGCAAAAGGCTGATATATAAAGGCTTTAACTATCATTTACAGAGCACTCTGATATGTTCATCAAAACTGATTTGTGGCACAGGGCATCCTACGAATCTTGAGCGCTGCTGTGCGGAACTGAGCAACACTGTACGTTGCAGCAGGATCAGTACCCAAGAACAGCAGGGGGGTGTAAAATTGTCCCGTACTTATGAAGTAATGGGGAAATAAGGCTAGTACGAATTGGGGAGCAGGCCTTGACATTTTGAGGGTTGAAATGTGTGATACTGTGGAAAAGTAATTTATTGATTACATGAAATTTATATACTGTTCGATTGTTTGAAAACAAACAAAACAAATCCTCAAAGCAGTATACAAAACAAGAAAATCCAGGAAAAAATTACAGCAATACTTTTTTAAAAAAATACAAAAAGTTAAAGTGGTAAAAGAGCTTAAAATCCACACCAGCATTTCTAAGCATCTGGGCAGGCTTGCCTAAACAGGAATGTTTTTAGCATGTGCCGGAAATGAATACAGCGAAGGCGCCTGCGTGATGTGAACCAGGCAGGGAGTTCCAGAGTATGGATCGCGCTTTCACATTGCTGTTAATCTTGTCCTCATTTGCCCCCCTCCCCCAGTTGAGGAAGAGAGTACAGTGGTACCTTGGTTCCTGAACTCAATCTGTTCTGGAAGTCCGTTCGGCTTCCAAAACGTTTGCAAACCAAGGGGCAGCTTCTGATTGGCCCCGTAAACAACGCTGAACGCCAAAACGGACGTTTGGCTTCCAAAAATCATTTGCAAACCAGAACACTTTTGGGGTTGCGGTGTTTGGGAGCCTATTTTTGGGAGCCAAGGTACCACTGTAGAGGGCTAGCCAAGCGAGGCTGGCACCCGGTACTTCCTCCTCGTTCTGAGAGTGGGCCACTGGGGAATAAAGCCATGGTGGAGCAGGAATTTTGGTTGGTGGGAAGTAGACTGTTGGACAAACAAAGCTTCCATCAATTGTCTCTCCCCAGTGGGTCACAGAGCAAGAGGCTCCTGGTTTTTTAGCCCTGGTGGTCCAGCCCGCCTGCTTGGCAGTGTTCCCAACCCCTGTGGGCATCCCCTCGCCTCCTTCCAGGCCCAGCCCTGTTTTTCTATCCCCTCCCCCTTGCACTGAGGAAGCACCACAGGTTGCGTCTTGCTCGCCTGGGTGTTGCTGTGGGAGGGGGCCAGGCAGGCTGCCACTTGTTCCCAACAGATCCGGAGCAACACCCAGCAGAAGAACGCCAGAGGAATGTCACCAAGGGCACAGAGCAGGTCCCTTTGGCACGAAGCAGCTCCATCCAGGAGACTGAGCCGTAACAGGCAGCTGCATAGCAGGGACGGGAACTCTAGCGTGAAGGTTTGCAGTCACGCAGAGCAACAGTGAAAGAAGTCAAAGGATAGCAGTTCCAGATCCGCAGCACGCAGTGCCAACTGGGTGCTTTGTGCCTTGTGGTCGCAAGAAAGTCACCTCTCTCTCTAGATATATCCTCCGGGGTGTTGCTGAGCCCTGGCACCCAGTCACTGGGCCTTTCCCTCTCTGGACCGCAACACCTGAGCCCTTTGCTCTGGGCAGATGACCAAGCAAGGCAGTGTGAATGTCTCAGTGCAGCCAAGAGCCCTGTATATTAATAGCCCTCTCCAAGTGCCAGGGAATCTCTGCATGCATTGAGAGGGCCGAGGCACCATATAAGGTGAGATGGGTAGTGATTATTTCAAGCAAGAGGGCTATTGTGGGAAGCTGGAAAGTTTATTGTGAGATGACGAGCAAGGCCTTTTTTATTTTTATAAGGGCGGGGGAGATATATTTGTTAGAATTAATCATAATAAATAAATGGAAGACGAGTACAGCCTACAGTCGTACCTTGGAAGTTGAACGGAAGCCGTTCTGGAAGTCCATTGTACTTCCAAATCATTCAGAAACCAAAGCGCGGCTTCCGATTGGCTGCAGGAAACTCCTGCAGCCAATCTGAAGCCGTGTCGGACTTTCGGGTTCCAAAGAACATTTGCAAACCGCAACAGTTACTTCTGGGGTTGCGACGTTTGGGAGCCAAAACATCGCAAGTACCAAGGCATTCCAGATCCAAGGTATGATTGTACAGGTTACAGATGCTTCAGGTAGATGCTTCAGGTTACAGACTCCGCTAACCCAGAAATAGTACCTTGGGTTAAGAACTTTGCTTCAGGATGAGAATAAAAATCGCGGCACGGCGGCAGTGGGAGGCCTCATTAGCTAAAGTGGTACCTCAGGTTAAGAACAGTTTCAGGTTAAGAATGGACCTCCGGAACGAATTAAGTTCTTAACCCGAGGTACCCTTGAACTTGCGTTCTTGGGTCTTGCGCTGAGGTACGTTTTTTCAGATTTCTCATCTGTACAGTTCTAAGCTACATCTGGAGAGCCACAGGTTCCCCCCCCCCCATTCTAAAAGAAAGTGTGGTGATCTTTAGTCTGTCCACAGATCTCCCAGCTGCAAGCTGATAAGCAAATGGATGTGGTTCTCTTGTCCCTCCAGGGCTGATCTGCCCACCAGGCAAGGTGAGGCAGTTGCATTAGGGCAGCAGGCTCTCAATACCTGGAAGAGGTGGCAGATTTGACTCGTGAGCTTATTGGCCACCGCCTCCTCCTCATGCCCACTGGTGCCATTCTTCTGCTGCATCTTCCACTGTGCCCACCCCCCTTGTGTGCCCACCGTTGCCGCTGGGTGGCAGTGGGCAGGTGCGCAAAGGTGGGTGCAGAGGTATGGTATGCAGCAGAGGAGATGAGGGCATTTTCTGTTTGGCCACTAGCAGCCAAATGGCCATTGCTGGCCCTGCCATAAATATACCATATTTTTCGCTCCATAAGACGCACCTGACCATAAGACACACCTAGTTTTTAGAGGGAGAATGCAAGAATGCATCCCAGGCTCTGCTCAGCGCTCCCTTTAAAAACTTTTTTTTTCTTGCATTCTCCCTCTAAAAGCCAGTCAGTCCCTTCTCCCTCCTTGGGGAAAAGTCCCCAAGAGCCACGCGGAGCGTGTGTGCGGCTCTTGGGGGCTTTTCCCGCCTGCCTCCCGCCTTCATTTGCTCCATAAGATGCGCACACATTTCCCCTTGTTTTTAGGAGGGAAAAAGTGCGTCTTATGGAGTGAAAAATATGGTAGTTCCATCTGGGTTGAGAGCTCATTCACTCCATGGCTTTCTCTGAAGGGACGTGCTCTGGTAAGCAGACTACTCCAAGGAGGAAAGGCCCATGTTTCTGTGGTGTCTCTGGCTGGAGCAGACACTGATCCACCCCAGATCTGTGGCTCAGGTCCTTGAGCTCTTTGTGTTGGTTGCTTTGCCCAACTAAATTTAGCCCTCTTCCTTCTCCCCGCTGCAAACCTTCACGTCCATCTCACTGCCCCTGAGAAGGGCAGAATGGCTGGAGTCCAACGGATTCCACTGGAAAACCAGAGCCTTCTCAAAGAGCTCTTTGCATGTGCCGAGCTCAGCAGATGCCAAAAGGCTTGGATGTTTGACAGAGAACCCTGATTGTTTTGGGCTATGGGTGTCTTCGCCTTGGTGTCTCCTGCGGCACAGCTGTCTATGCAACTTGACCCTTGCTGGACCACTCACACCCTACAGGGACCTTCTTGCTTTTTAAAAACCTTTCGTTTGTCTCCTCCTCTTCCAGGGAGGCTAAAGTAGAGAGAGCAACTTGCTCAAGGCCCATCCACTCAACTTCTTGATCACACATAGGAATTTGGCCAAGGTTTCCCACTCCCATACTCTAGTGCAAAGGTTTTCAACCTTTCTGAGTCCACAGCTCCCTTGACCAACTCCATTCTTTCGGTGGCACCCCTGTGGGGCTCAGGAGCCCAGTTATGTCACCCCTTGCCTACAGAGCTAGCAGCCTCTCACCCTTTCTCAAACACCCTTCCTTGTGGAGGGTTCCCTCAGCCTCCACTCCTCTCCCCTCTCCTGGGAGTCCTCAGGGCAGCTGCTGCCACCCCCCACACCCCAAAGAGAGGTGCTTCCTCACACTGCCCCACAGGGGCCTGGGAAGCACCCCCTGGCCAGCCCCAGAGGCACCATTCACCATGCATGTGATGAATGGTTCACTTCCCCGCTCCTCCATGCATGTGGAGGAGCAGGGAAGTGAACCTGGTTCACCAGATTACGAGTCCACTGCTCTTAACCACTACACCACACTGGAGAGTTTATATCAACAAACAGCTGCTGCAACAAACAGCCAACCCAGCCTTTGGGATGCAGAGACGCAAGAGGGCATCAAAGGAGGGAGGGATGGAAGAAAAGAGGGACAGAGGCCAGTGTTGCCCGCGGCATCATTCAAGGCACCCCAGTGTGTCATGGCACGCTGGTTGAAAACCACTGCTCTAGTGACTCAGTTTCATGACTGCTTCTTGTTGTGTTGTTCTTCCATCTGTAGCATCCATGAAGTAGCTGAGAAGGGAGTTGGGTCTGCATGCCTTGTATGTTGGAAGGTGGGGGGTCCAAGCAAGTCCTTTCCACCTATGCTGATCCTCTCCCACCCATCTGGCAGGTGGAGTCAGAGTCAGTTACTAGGGCATGGCTGGGGAGCCTTTGGGCCTTCCAGGTGTAGCTGGACTACAACTGCCAGCATCCTTGAGCAGGGGTCAGCAAACTTTTTCAGCAGGGGGCCGGTTCACTGTCCCTCAGACCTTGTGGGGGGCCGGAAAGGGGGGGGAAAGAACGAATTCCTATGCCCCACAAATAACCCAGAGATGCATTTTAAATAAAAGGACACATTCTACTCGTGTAAAAACATGCTGATTCCTGGACCATCCGCGGGCCGGATTTAGAAGGCAATTGGGCCGAATCTGGCCCCTGGGCCTTAGTTTGCCTACCCATGTCCTTGAGCTGGGCTGAGGCTGATGGGAGTTCAGGTCCAACAATAACTTGAAGGGCTACCAAGTCCCCCACGTAGGAAGCCAAAAAAAAGTAGCGTTACTTGGTGGCAGGAATAAAGAATGTGAATTGTCCCCAAAGAACGGTTTGACCCAAAATGTGTTGGGCTGCAACTTCCTTCCTTCCTTCCTTTTTACAATAACCCACTGAAATGCACAAGCAGAGGTTATACTTCCAATTCACAGTTCCAGCGACAGACAACTGATGCCAGGGAGGGAGTGTGTTCCCGCAGGTGCGGCAGGTCCCTGCTCTGCCAGTCCATTTGGTTTCCATGCTAGTTGCAGAGGAGGCAAAACCTCTTCCCCCACAGCTAGCATGATAATCAAGGAAGCTGATGGAGGAGAAACAGATTGCTCTTCCACCATCTCCCCATCTCCGTCTTGTTGAAAGGCATTTCCCACTTCCGGCCTCTTGATTCCATGCCGACCATGGAGGAGAAGGGGGCTTCTGCTGTTCCCTGCTGGCTGCTAACTTCTTAAAAGGCTTGTAAATATTTTTTGCAGGCTAGTTATTTTGTGTGCTTATTCACAAGACTGCAGAGGGATATGGAAAGTGCCGCAGAGAAGCAGACTTGGGCTCCCCTTGCAAATGTTGCTTTATGAAAACCAAGCATTACACCAGGCAGATCCATGGAGGAGTCTGTTGCCATGAAAGCAACATGGAACCTCCACAGTATAGGCAGTATACCCCTGAATCCCAGATGAGGGAGGTAAAGGGACCCCTGACCATTAGGTCCAGTCGTGACCGACTCTGGGGTTGCGGCGCTCATCTCGCTTTATTGGCCGAGAGAGCTGGCATACAGCTTCCAGGTCATGTGGCCAGCATGACTAAGCCACTTTTGGCGAACGCCGTTTACCTTCCCGCCAGAGTGGTACCTATTTATCTACTTGCACTTTGACGTGCTTTTGAACTGCTAGGTTGGCAGGAGCAGGGACCGAGCAACGGGAGCTCACCCCGTCGCGGGGATTCGAACCGCCGACCTTCTGATTGGAAAGTCCTAGCAAATGTTGCCTGTCAACTTCAGTGTATGTGGAAACGTCAAGTAGGTGTTTGGCATTGAGAAAGCTTTTGCCATGTATATGAGCCAATGGGGTAATTTCTAACAGTTCTTCCTGGGTTCTTAAGTGTTGCACCAATACTAGCCCTGCTTGTGGTAACTGGTGATCCCTCAGGGTGCGGTGGGGAGTTCGTTATGCCAAGGCCCTAGTGTTAATTAGGACAAATGACACACACTGTGTCCCATGGTCCAAAGCTCTTGGGCAGAAAGAGCTGCGGCTGAAACACCTTGTTCCATGTTTGCCCCAGGGCTTTCACATTCCAATGGTTTCACATTCCAGCCCCAGTGTGTGGCAGACATCGCTTGTTTCTTACCAGGGAATTTGATGGAATGGGTGGAAGAACCTATTTTTGTGGACCATTTCACTCCTGTCAGTCAAATCTGCTTCCTTCCCACAGCTGCCTCCCAAAATCTTCCTAATTGCAAACCACTGGGGCTAAATCTGCTTTGTTGGAAGAGCACGAGACCCTTTATCTCAAGGTTGTGGGTTCAAAGAGATTCCTGCATTGCAGATGATTGGGCTAGAAGCCGCTAGATGATCCTTGTGGTCTGCTCCAACTCTATGATTCCCTGGAGACCCCAGCAACTGAGAATCAAGCAAGTCCCCGGTTTGCATAGCTCCATCCTGGGCTCTGCTCTTTTGCTCATGCTACAGTAAGATAATGGTCTAAACCACAGAGCCTAGAGCTTGCCGCCTAGGTTAGCGGTTCAAATCCCCATGAGGGGGTGAGCTCCCGTTGCTCGGTCCCTGCTCCTGCCAACCTAGCAGTTCGAAAGCATGCAGTGCAAGTAGATAAATAGGTACCACTTTGGCAGGAAGGTAAACGGTGTTTCCGTGCACTGCTCTGGTTTGCTAGAAGCGGCTTAGTCCTGCTGGCCACATGACCCGGAAGCTGTGGACAAACGCCGGCTCCCTTGGCCAGTAAAGCAAGATGAGTGCCAAAACCCCAGAGTCGTCCACGACTGGACCTAACGGTCAGGGGTCCCTTTACCTTTACAGTAGGATAATAATAATATTATTATAATTTATTATTTATACCCCGCCCACCTGGGCGGCTCCCAACATCATAATAATAATAATAATAATAATAATAATAATAATAATAATAAATAAATGCAATAAAACATCAAACATTAAAAACTTCCCTAAACAGAGCTGCCTTCAGATGTCTTCTAAAAGTCAGATAGTTGTTTATTTCCTTAACATCTGAAGGGAGGGCGCCAATACCAAGAAGGCCCTCAGAGCTGGACCTCAGTGTTTGAGCTGAATGATGGGAGTGGAGATTCTCCTTCAGGTATACTGGGCCGTGGCCATTTAGGGCTTTAAAGGTCAGCACTAACACTTTGAATTGTGCTTGGAAACATACTGGGAGCCAATGTAGATCTTTCAAGACCGGTGTTATGTGGTCTCGGCGGCCACTCCCAGTCACCAGTCTAGCTGCAGCATTTCTGGATCAGTTGTAGTTTCGGGTCACCTTCAAAGGTAGCCCCACATAGAGCGCATTGCAGAGTCCAAGCAGGAGATAACCGCTCTGGCGAGACAGATGGGATGCTGGGGACTAGCATTACGTAGGTAGGTAGGTAGATCTGTAATCTGCAAAACGCTGGGCTTTGCGGTCCCAGCTCAGCCCTCGGCCTCCAGCCTTGGCCACCACAGCTGTGGATCTCAGAACCCTTCCCTCTCCCTGACTTGCTCTTTCTCTTGCCCGCTTCCTTGGCTGCAGCATCCATTCCGTTCTTCATCTGCGAGGTTGGCCTCGTTTCCCCTATGCGCCGCGGCTTCTTCTGCAACGACAGCAGCATCAGGTACCCGCTGCAGCGGGCTGAGACCGTCAGCGACTCTGTGCTCATCTCCGTGGGAATCCTCATTGCCTGTCTAGTGGTGAGTCTTTCAGGGGAATGAGGGAGGGAACCGTGCCCTTTTGTCCTTTAACATCCTGTGCCATGCCTTGTTCCTGGCAGCAAAACACCACCCACCCGACCATAGTATTTTGCTGATTTGTCTTCTTGCATGCATTTATTGCATGCCTTTCCACCCCAGGTTCCTCTGAAGAGCTCAGGGTATACAAAACCCTCTCCCCTCTCCCCACCAGACCCCCTTCTAGAACATCACATCACCTGTATCCTGATGCCACACAATATTCCCTTACGGTTCCTTGCAGGAGCCCTTCTTCTGTTTTCCCCCAGCACAGATGACTCTCCAACTCCATTTCATGCAGCATGCTGTCAGGGGCCATGCTGAGGAGGCTGCACTTGAGGAGGAATGGATCCTGAATCTTCCCAGGAGCAGTGGGACAGTATAGATTTGGAACAGTGGTTGGCAGAGGGATAGTACAGAAGGCAGAAGCTGGGAAGTACTGGATGGGGAACAGCTAGGAGAAGAAGCACTGGGAGAGAGAGAGTTAACAGACTCACTTTTTCTGGAAAGCGTCCGTCCACTCAACCCAAGGTCAAGGAGAGCAGATAATGCGGCTGCTCAGAAAGCGCAGTGGTTGCGAGATCAGGTTACAAGGCATGGTAGTGACGTGGGTGACTAGGGAGGAAGTGGGTGTAACCCTTAATTGGGAGCATCTTCATTCCTAGGAAATGGATTATTGTTCTCTCGCTATGATCATTAAAAAGATGCGGGTGGTGCTGTGGGTTAAACCACAGAGCCTAGGACTTGCTGATCAGAAGGTTGGCGGTTCGAATCCCCACGATGGGGTGAGCTTCCGTTGCTCGGTCCCTGCTCCTGCCAACCTAGCAGTTCAAAAGCACATCAAAGTGCAAGTAGATAAATAGGTACCGCTCCAGCGGGAAGGTAAACGCCGTTTCCATGCGCTGCTCTGGTTCGCCAGAAGCGACTTAGTCATGCTGGCCACATGACCCGGTAGCTGTGCGCCGGCTCCCTCGGCCAATAAAGCGAGATGAGTGCCACAACCCCAGAGTCGGCCACTACTGGACCTAATGGTCAGGGGTCCCTTTACCTTTATGATCATTAAAATTTCTAACTGGTAAGAGACTCCTTTCACTGTGTTCTGCTTATCTTCTGCCAAAGGGGGGGAGAGGAAGATGAGTCCCTGAAACCTGACACATGCAACCCTTTCTCCAGCGCTGTAGCCAAACTTAGTTCAAAGAGAAAAGTTTCCTCCCAGCAATATTCATTTTTGATTTGGCTAGTGTGGAAGCTGTTCTCTGGCAAGCCCATGGAACCCATTTGCTAGGTTCAGTAAATTTTTTCTTTCCTTTGGTTCTGATTGGCTAGCCCAGGGGCAGCTTCCTGATGGCTGTGACAGTGTGAATCTCCACTCGCCATTAAGAAATGTGCCCCGCTGCCAGCGCTGGAATTGCTTGTAGCTGGGCTGCCTTCTCTGTTCAGAGCCAGTGTGGTGTAGTGGTTAAGAGCGGTAGACTCATAATCTGGTGAACCGGGTTCGCTTCCCCGCTCCTCCACATGCAGCTGCTGGGTGACCTTGGGCTAATCACACTTCTCTGAAGTCTCTCGGCCTCACTCACCTCACAGAGTGTTTGTTGTGGTGGAGGAAGGGAAAAGGAGATTGTTAGCCGCTTTGAGACTCCTTCGGGTGGTGATAAAGCGGGATATCAAATCCAAACTCTTCTTTTTCTTTCTTTCTTTCCAACGCAGATCACCCTGGGCGAAAGCTGCCGTGTGTACAGCCTGCCCCACAGCTCACGCTCCATAGTCTCCAACCGTTACGTGGCTGCCCTCTACAAGGAGATTGGGGCCTTCCTCTTTGGCTGCACTGTGGGCCAGTCACTAACCAACATGGCCAAGGTTGCTGTGGGCCGCCTCCGTCCACACTTCCTGGCCGCCTGCAGGCCTGACTTTGCTCACATCAACTGCTCTGCTGGATACCTGGAGGACTACATCTGCACTGGTGGCCCCTCAGAGGAGAAAGAAGCTAGGTGTGTATGGTGACGTCTCCTCTCTCTCAAAGAGAGATGTCCTTCTGATGATGATCATAGGGTCTGGGTCAGTTCAGCTGGGAAGAGGCAATAAATAAAAAGGTAAAAAACCCCTGGACAGTTAAGTCCAGTCAAAGGTGACTACGGTGTTGTGGTGCTCATCTGGCTTTCAGGCCGAGGGAGCCGGCGTTTGTCCACAGACAGCTTTCTGGGTCATGTGGCCAGCAGGACTAAACTGCTTCTGGCACAACGGGACACCGAGACGGAAACCAGAGTGCACGGAAAAACCGTTTACCTTCCCGCTGCAGCGGTACCAATTTATCTACTTGCACTGGCATGCTTTCGATCTGCTAGGTTGGCAGGAGCTGGCACAGAATAACAGGAGCTCACCCCGTCACGGGGATTCCAACTGCCGACCTTCTGATTGACAAGCCCCAGAGGCTCAGTGGTTTAGACCACAGCGCCTCCTCAGCCATTTAAGGCTTTTAGGTCAAAGCCAGCACTTTGAATCAGAGGCAGATTTAGGGGAGCGCAACCAGTTCACCCACACTGGGTGCCACAGGGCCCCCCACAACAATGACGTACAACAGAAGGCAAAATGTGGGGGTGCCAGATTTTGGCGCCACAAAAATTTGCAAGCCGAAAGCCTGCTATTTCTTTGAATTGGGCACAGAAACTAATTTGCAGCCAGGGCAGTTGGGCCATTATTGGTGTAATATGCTCAAATTGTCTTATCCGGGCTGCTGAATTCTGCACCAGCTGAAATTTCTGAACCAACTTCATGGGCAGCCCAATGTATAACACATAGCAGTAATCTAAGTAAGGGGTTACCAGATTCTGAAAGGCAAAGGAGATGGGAGGAGCAAGGTTGGGACTTTCAAGGAGATGAGTAGAAGCTAGCATAAGTCTATAACATACATTCCAGGGACTGGGATATGCTCATCATGACCTCTCTGCTACAGCTGAGACAGCTAGTTCTACAGTGGTGCCTCGCAAGACGAAAATAATCCGTTCCGCGAGTCTCTTCGTCTAGCGGTTTTTTCGTCTTGCGAAGCAACCCTATTAGCGGATTAGCGCGTTTAGCGGCTATTAAAGGCTTAGCAGCTTAGCGGCTAAAAGGCTGTTAGCGGCTTAGCGGCTTAGAAAAAGGGGGGGGAGCGAAAAAAATCGCAAGACTCGCAATACGTTTTCGTCTTGCGAAGCAAGCCCATAGGGAAATTCGTCTTGCGAAGCGCATCGAAAAACGGAAAACCCTTTCGTCTAGCGGGTTTTTCGTCTTGCGAGGCATTCGTCTTGCGGGGCACCACTGTATTTATTTATTTCAAATATTTCTGTGCCATCTTTCAGGGCAGGGCTCTCCAAAGGCAGCTCCTATAGAAAAAACAAAAGTTAAAATATATATTCTGTTAATAAACTTAAAGCAGCAGTCTGAAATATTATATAGCACAGTAGCTATGTAATAAAGCCAGCTGAAAATAAAGCAAAATCAGCAGTGGCTTCAACAATTATTATTGTTTTTTTAATGGCCCAGCATCTTAGTTAAAAGCAGATTAAAATAAGTAGATTTTCAAGGCCCACTGAAAAGCCAGTGATGATTGAGTCAAGTGTGTATCCCATGAGAAAGAGTTCCACAGAAATGGGGCAACCACTGAAAAGGCCCTGTCTCTACTGCCTCCCAATCTAATTGAGTCATATGGTGGGCCCGTGAGCAGGGCCTCCGAACCTGATCCAGGCAGGTTCATACAGGTGCCAGCTGCCTTTTCAAACTACCTGGTCCCAAACAGTTGAGGATTTTAAATGTCAATTCCAACCCAAGGGGAAGTTACTGGGGAACTCAATGGAATTTAGCACAAGTCATTCTTTGCAGGTCTCAGTTAAGGGGAGGGAGGGAGTTGAAGTCATGAGTTATGGCTCACAGGGACACTTGGTGCCAGAATATTTGGCTACCATCTCAAGATCTGGGAAGGGGAAAGATTCTGTTGCATTAGACAGGATAATCCGGAGAATGAGAAATAGGAAACCTGGCAGCTACGTGCCGAAACTATCAGCGTTGAGTGCCAGGTGTGGGAGACAAATGTGAGAGAAGGGCTGTCACTTCTATGCCCTATTTGTTATCTACTCGGAGATATCTGAGTCGGTGTTTGGAAACTGAGTTTGGAAGCTGAACAAGTTGGGCCTTGACTTTGACCCACCTGTGCTGCTCTCAAGCTCTCCTGGGACCAGAGCCAGCCTGGCAGTGCATGTAATCCAAGCAGTCATGGGGGCAGCAAGATTTTGGGGTGCATTAGAAGTGCTGTAAAGTAGCAGGTGAACTCTGGCAGGTATGCCCCATGCAGTCATTTTGAGCCAAAGGGGTAGGGAAATCTCGGATCACACAATTTGCTCCCTGTCATTTCCACTGGCACTGATCCCCACTACTCTCATCCTGTAGGCAGGTATATAGCCAACATTTATAGCCTTTTCTTCCAAGGATTTGTCTAATCCCCTTTTAAAGTTGTCCAGGTTTGGCAGCCATCATTGTCATTTGTGGTAACAAAATCATATACAGTTGTGCAGTCGTACCTCAGGTTGCGAACGTGCTCCGTGCGGGAGGCACGTTCGCAACCCGCAGAGTTCGCAGCCCTAAGCGCTGTATCTGTGCGTGTGCGTGACACGATTCGGCGCTTCTGCATGTGACATCATTTTGTGTTTCTGCGCATGCGCGAGCGCCGAAACCCGGAAGTAACCCGTTTGGGTACTTCCGGGTTCGGCACAGTCTGCAACCCGAAAACGCGCAACCCGCAGCGTTTGTAACCCAAGGTATGACTGTACCTTGGTTTTGGAACAGATTAGTTCCCAAACATTTTGCCTCCCGAACGCCACAAGCCCAGAAGTGACTGTTCTGGTTTGCGAACTATTTTTTGGATGCCGAGTGTCTGATGGGGCTTCCACAGCTTCTGGTTGGCTGCAGGAGCTTCCTACAGCCAATCAGAAGCTGTGCTTTGGTTTCCAAACGTTTTGGAAGTTGAACAGACTTCCGGAACAGATTCCATTCAACTTCCAGTACAGCTGTACTTTTAACACTGTGGAAAGAAACATTTCCATTGATTCCTGAATCTCCCACTGTTCAACTTCATTGGGTGACGTGGGTTCTAATATTCAGCGTGTTGTCAATAAAATATAACTAGACAGTGGCTCCTTCCTAATGTAGGTTTACTTCTAGGGACAGGTGGGCTCAGGCCAGCCCATCCTGTAGTATATTTTACATTTCTTCTGTGAACTGGCCTGCTTTGGATAGAGCTGAGGCAACAGACGCACCCCAATCTCCAAAATGGCAAGGCCTGGTGTTTGCGTTTATTCTCTTAGTTCTGGAGGGATTCAAGTGAGATGGATGCATCAAGGCTGAAGAGGCAACAGGTATACCGTATTTTTCGCTCTATAAGACGCACCAGACCACAAGACGCACCTAGTTTTTGGAGGAGGAAAACAAGAAAAAAATATATTCTGAATCTCAGAAGCCAGAACAGCAAGAGGGATCGCTGCGCAGTGAAAGCAGCAACCCCTCTTGCTGTTCTGCCTTCTGTGATAGCTGTGCAGCCTGCATTCGCTCCATAAGACACACACACATTTCCCCTTACTTTTTAGGAGGGAAAAAGTGAGTCTTATAGAGCAAAAAATACGGTAATTGGGATAGAGAGAGCTTATCCAGTCCAGAGTAGACTTGATGGGAGCAGGCCTGTGTGTTGAAGCCTGGGGTGCCTCGAATGCTTAGAAGGTGAGATGAGGGTTTTGATTTTAAAAGCTAAAGGGACACAGGCAGTTGGGAGTGTAAAGCCCTCCCTCGCCTGCAATTCACCTCCTTCCCAGCCCCTTTTCTCCCTGCCAAGGCTCCAATAGGGATTTTATGTAGGTTTGTTATCAGCTGGCTGAGCTCATTCACCCTCAAAGGAACAGAGAGATGTCGGGAAGAGAAGCTGGGTCAAAGTTCGGCATCCCTTAAAAAAACAGTGTGCACATTGTAACATAGAATCTTGTCGCTAGTCACCGTTGATCTAAAACCCAAAGACCTAGGTGTCTAACTTTCACACCTTAACCAAAGACTATTTATTTTAATTTTTTTGTTACAAGTATAGTGGTACCTTGGTTCTCAAACTTAATCTGTTCTGGAAGTCTGTTCCAAAACCAAGGTGCACTTTCCCATAAAAAGTAATGCAAAATGAATTAATCTGTTGGGGCCGTTCCAGACTTTTAAAAACAACCCCTAAAACAGCAATTTAACATGAATTTCACTATCTAACGAGACCATTGATCCATAAAATGAAAGCATTAAACAACGTACTGCAGTCACACAATCAATCAGTCAATCAGGAGCTGAACTGGGTTCCACACAGTCACACACACACACAAAAAGAACCACAAAAACACAAAATAAATAGCAAAAACAGACAGACCTCAGCGTAACACTCTAAACGGAAGTGTGGCTCTCAAAACGAAGCACATTTGGCATCTGAAAAAAGTTCGCAAACCGAAACACTTACTTCTGGGTTTGCAGTGTTTGGGTTCCAAGTTGTTTGAGTACCAAGGTGTTTGAGAACCAAGGTACCACTGTATATCCCGCCTTTCTGCCAAGGAGCTCAAGGTGGTCTTCCTTGCAAGAAGGAGAGCACCTGGCCCAAACTCATGCAGTGAGCATCATGGCTGAGTACAGATTTGGGAGGGGGGAGGGGCTCTCCTGCCCTTGTCCAACACTTTAACCACTTCCATGAACCTGGGTCACCACACAGTTAATATCCGGGATATCTTGGTCTTGTTGAAATGAATGGGTTAGATTGCATTTACCTCAGTGCGACTTACCCAAGCTGTTGCCCAACAGTGTGGTGTAGTGGTTAAGAGTGGTGGACTCGTAATCTGGGGAACCGGGTTCGCGTCTCCGCTCCTCCACATGCAGCTGCTGGGTGACCTTGGGCCAGTCACACTTCTCTGAAGTCTCTCAGCCCCACTCACCTCACAGAGTGTTTGTTGTGGGGGAGGAGGAAGGGAAAGGAGATTGTTAGCCACTTTGAGACTCCTTCGGGTAGTGATAAAGCGGGATATCAAATCCAAACTCTTCTTCTTCTTCTTCTCAGTTGAACCCTACTGCTAGGAAGTAGGAATCGAACAGAGGGAAGCTGCTTTGCATAGGTGGTATGAGAAGTGTCTGAAGGAACAGTGTTGTAAATAGGTTACAGGAACTGCATTGTGAGCAGAAATCCTCTGCCTTAATAATCTAGCAGACTGCATTCTCTGTTCTTTCTAACAAAGCAACCATTTTCTCTTCCAGGAAGTCATTCTACTCCGGCCATGCCTCCTTTGCCATGTATACCATGATGTACCTGGTGGTAAGTCCCTATGCGCAGTTTTAGGTGTGGAAGGTCTTCGGGTGGTTGTGTTGTGGGCCACCTTGTGAGCCACAGGGTAAAAGGGGGTCTGATTCACCGTGCAAGCAGCTGTGTCGCTGTCCACAGGAAACACAGCTGTTCAGAGCAGCAGCTTCGTGCCATCGGTCTGAGCTGCTCCCTTCATAATTCCAGGAAATATTGACATGGGTATGGTGAAAATAGGCGATGCATATGAGGAGCTGCTTCATGTGGATAGTTTGTCGTGCGGAGCAGCCTCCGCCAAGTTTGTTTCGGATGCTCACAGGTGAGCGAATGAGACCTGAGAGCTCTACCTAGCAACCCATGCTGGGTACAGTGGTACCTTGGTTTGCAAACTTAATCTGTTCTGGGAGTCTGTTCAACTCCCAAAACCGTTCAAAAACCAGGGCGCAGCTTCAGATTGGCTGCAAGAGCTTCCTGCACTTGGGCGTTTGGCTTCTGAAAAACGTTCGCACACCAGAACACTTACTTCTGGGTTTGCGGTGTTCAGGAGCCGATTTGTTCGACAACTAAGCCGTTCGAGAACCAAGGTACCACTGTACCAGAAAATTCCACAGACTGGTGGGGAAATAATTTGGAAATAGACTCGTGGAGAGGTCTTCGTTCTCCAAAGCATCTTCTTGAAGGCCCTTTTCTGCATTCCCTTAACTGTGAATTTACATGTTATTTGTATTTGTTTATTAAAATCGTTTATATACCGCCTTTAAGTAAGAAGCTACCAATGTGGTCACATCAGTATAAAAAGAAATAAATTTAACTTTGCTCCTGGACTTTGGTTGCCTAGAAATCTTGCAGGGGCTTTCCACTCCTTCCCAGAGGAGGAGCAGAAGGAGGGTGCACTTCAAGTATACCCAATGATCCTTGGTTTATGGGGCACCTCCCAACCCCAAACTTAAATTGGTTTAAGAGTTATTCCCTCCACCCAGACAACATCAGGAATTATAGTTTGGAGGGGGATCTCGAACACAAAACTTTGCATCCTCACCAAGCTACAACTCCTAAGGTGCTGCAGGGAGACCATTCCAGCAAAAACTGATATAAAACTCTGATTAAGTTTGCAGGGTAAATATAGTTGGGATGAGAAAAATCCATGGAAGGAAGAGTCTGACTCCAAGCCAGGAAAGGCTTCCAAGAATCTCTGGAGCTTTTCCACTGAGGAAGGAAAAGGTGTCTGGCTGGGGCAGCTAATTTCCACAGCTGACCAAACAATCTAAAATTGAATGTTAAAGAAGTAGAAGCATTAAGACAGAAATGGGGAAAACAGTGGGCCTCCTAACGGATTTGGGTTCCCACCATCCCCTGCCAGCCTGACCAGTGCTTTAGGGATGATGGGAGTTGTTTTCCCACAACAGCTGGAGGGTCACAGGTCTCCCCCCCCCAAGTTGAACAGAAGTGTTGGTTTTATCAGCCATGTTTTCTTACATTACAGCTGTGTTTTGTTCCTAAATATTTTGGGGGGGGGGTTCTGCTGCTACTGAAATTATAATGAAACGGTCTTCATATTGATTAGATGAAATGAGAGGGCTTGTAAGCAGATAAAGAGGTTGGAAGTGAAAATAGCAACATTTTATACTAACACGTTCCACCTGCTGACCAGCGACTGCCCCCCCCCCCAATCAGGTACCTGGCTGGTCCTGGTGAGTCACTGCCCCTTTTGAGGGTATTTTGGAGATACCTCTTCAATTACGTATTAGTGGCTAATGTTAGGTTTGTTCAGGTTTTAGACCTGTCCCTTGGGTTTCTAAAACCTGCTTTTACCTGCCCAAACCTTCAGATCTTGCTCTGGGTGAGTCCATCAAGGGAAGTGAGGTGGGTTTTTTGTAGTGGCGCCATAGAGAAGGGAAAACCAAGAGACTTTCAAGGCGCCTTTTCTATGGTCCTTTTATCACCTTTTTATCCACTTGTGAAATAGTATTTATTTATACCTACATACCCTTCCCATCTGGCTGGGTTTCCTCAGCCACTCTGGGGAGCCCCAGCCGCTAGCTGAAAAGGATGCAGGGCAAAGCGCCACGTCTGCGCGTGCACGTGGAGCAGTTTGTACTTCTGCGCATGCACGAAACACGATTTAGCGCTTCTGCGCATGCGCGAGCAGCAAACCAGGAAGTAACCCGTTCCGGAACTTCCAGGTTTGCTGCGGACGTTCACTGGAATGGACGCTAGACGAGGTGGACGTTCACAGAGGTATAACTGTAATAATTAAAAAGCAATAAAACATCAAAAATTTAAAACTTCCCTAAACAGGGTTGCCTTCAGATGCCTTTTAAAAGTCAGATAGTTGTTTATTTCCTGGACATCTGAAGGGAGAGTGTTCCACAGGGCAGGCACCACTACTGAGAAGACCCTCTGCCTGGTTCCCTGTAACTTCTCGCAGGGAGGGAACTGCCAAAAGGCCCTCAGAGCTGGACCTCAGTGTCTGGGCTGAGTGATGGGGGTGGAGACGCTCCTTCAGGTATACTAGGCCAAGGCCGTTTAGGACTTTAAAGTTCAGCACCAACACTTTGAATTGTGCTCAGAAATGTACTGGGAGCCATGGAAAGGGTATGTGCAGTCTTTGGTTGTTCTTTGCATATAAATAAACTAATTGATACCGAACTCGTTTCTAGTGCTTGAATAAGTAAATCCACGCACATGTTAACACCAAAGCACTGTGCTATGCCATTTCATGTGCCTGGTTCATTCTGGGCTGTTGAAAACCTAATTGTCCTAAAATGATGTTAGTCTGGTTTTCCTTAATCAAAAAACCAAGCACCCTCTTTGCTTTTGAATTGGTGCAGGGCTGTCTACCAGAGAGTAAATTAGTGCAGCAATGGAAGAGAGCCTCCAGGGATGTCTATGGTTTCGTTTGCACCTGGCAGGGGGAGAGCTCATGCAGTGGTGTTTGAGAGTAGACCTTGTATAAATTATCTTATACATACACAGCTGGATCCCTCTTTTCTCCTGTGAAATGTTGGAGGATATGTGCATTTATACTAGGCTCTGGGAAGAAAGTGGAATGTGCATGATTCAGATGGAAGTGGATGGGCACCAGGAATTTTGGCTCCAGGTGAAGTTATTGGAGTCAGCAGACATACCTTTCTCTACGGCAATTTCCTGTTATGAAATGCGGAAGACGTAGATTAATATCTCCTCCTTGAGGGCTTGGGCTTAAAGGCTTAGCAGATGTGGATTTGCAGGCTCCTGTGAGCTTTTCAGTTGCAAAGCAAAGAAGGGCACAGTGCAGCCTCAGTGACTTGTGAGAAACTGCCACTAGGGCTTCAGAAAGACCATGCGAGACCAAAATGGGACTCCAGAGTCTTTGGGGCTTTGGTTTGTGCCTCCTATTCCCAGTTTGGCTATTTTTATTTTGTTTGTTTATTATTATTATTGTTGTTGTTGTGGCTTCTGAGAATCTGTCATGCTTTACTCTCCTATATTTAGAAGAGGGATTTGCCTGGCAACCTAACAGGGACACTTCCCCTGTGGGAGATTAGTCTGGAAACAGGGAGTGGCTGAGAGGAGGAAGCGAGATGGAGATGGAGACACAGGACCTGTCTGGCTGTCTGGTTTCCCTGAAACAGGTGTGGGCAGCCTGCGGCTCCTGGGCCACGCGTGGTCTTTAGCCTAATTTAATCCAGCCCGCGGCCTGTTTTCATGTAGGTGTTGTTAGAGGGAAGGGGAGCGAGGAAGAAGTGGTCCTGAACAACTTTGATTCTGACCATTCTCCTCACCAGCATGCAGCTAGAACAAGATTACCTCCAAGGGAATGGGGTCCTCAACAGAAAAAACAAAATTGCTTCCCTATGACAGGGTGCAAAAACTTACCGTACTTTTCGGTGTATAAAAGATAAAGGGACCTCTGACCATTAGGTCCAGTCGCGGGCAACTCTGGGGTTGCGGCACTCATCTTGCTTTATTGGCCAAGGGAGCAGGCGTACAGCTTCTGGGTCATGTGGCCAGCATTACTAAGCCGTTTCTGGCGAACCAGAGCAGCGCACAGAAACGCCGTTTACCTTCCTGCCGGAGTGGTACCTATTTATCTACTTGCACGTTGACGTGCTTTCGAACTGCTAGGTTGGCAGGAGCAGGGACTGAGCAACAGGAGCTCACCCCGTCGCGGGGATTCGAACTGCTGACCTTCTGATCAGCAAGTCCTAGGCTCTGTGGTTTAACCCACAGTGCCACCCGCGTCCCCTTTCGGTGTATAAGACTAGATTTTTTCCCTTAAAAATCATGCTAAAAAGTAGGAGTTGTCTTATACATAGGTAGTGCATAGGGTGGACGTTAGATTGGTTGCTGCCGCGTCTGTGAGTGGCTATTATATGTGTTATTGGTTGCTGCATCAATGGGTGGTGTTGATTGGCCGATGCTGCAGTAATTGGGTGGGCGATTGGCAGCTTCTGCCAGTGCGTGGACAGATGGGAGGCAGATTTAGCAATGCGTGCAGGTGAGCAATTTTCAGCATTCCTCCCTTAAAAAAGCTCAACAACTTTTTGCCATCTCCCATTTTCTGAAATTTCAGTGCCAAAAAATAGGGGCGTCTTATAGATGGAAAAGTACGGTATTCTATTTCTATACAGTGGTACCTGTATACATACGCTTCAGGTTACATACACTTCTAGTTACACACCCTTCTAACCCAGAAATAGTGCTTCAGGGCAATTTGCTTCAGGATAAGAACAGAAATCGGGCTCTGGCGGCGCAGCGGGAGGCCCCATTAGCTAAAGCGGTGCTTCAGGTTAAGAACAGTTTCAGGTTAAGAACGGACCTGCGGAACGAATTAAGTACTTAACCCGAGGTACCATTGTACTGCCCTTCATCTGACAATCACAGGGTGGTTTACAATATAAAAACCCCAAAATATATATAATAACAAAAGAAAAACCAATCTTCTTGGACTATAACTCACACCAGCCCCAGCCTTAATAGCTAGTTATCAGAGATTATGGGAACTGTAGTTCAGCAAAATCTGGAGAGCTATAGGTATCCTCCCTTGTCCAATGAAATATCTTCAGCCACCCACATTTGTGGAAACCGAGGTTCAGTGGGCGGCTGGCAAAATCCATTTAAAAAATGGAAAAACACGCAGTGGAAGCCATTTGACTTCCAAGGTGCGTTCAAAAACAGAAGCAATTACTTCCAGGTTTTCAGTGTTCATATTCTGAATCGTTCAGCTTCCGAGACACTCGAAAATCGAGGTTCCACTGTATACCGGAATATATGCACATCTATACATGTGCGCACACAAAGTCGAGTAGGAGATCAGTTGTGCAAGGTGAGAGTCAAAGGAACACACCAAGAAAACAGATTCACCATACAGTGGTGCCTTGCAAGACGAAATTAATTTGTTCTGCGAGTTTTGTCGTCTTGCGATTTTTTTCGTCTTGCGAAGCACGGTGTCGGGAAAGTTTTGGAAAAGCTTCAAAAATCACCAAAGTCTTTAAAAACCTCCAAAAAGGCTACCACACCGCGTTCTATGAGTTGCTCCTCGAAGTCAAGTCGCAACTGTATTAACGGTGTTAAGTAAATGGAAACAAACTTGCAAGACGTTTCCGTCTTGCGAAGCAAGCCCATAGGGAAAATCGTCTTGCGAAGCAGCTCAAAAAACGAAAAACCCTTTCGTCTAGCTAGTTTTTTGTCTTGCGAGGCATTCGTCTTGCGAGGTACCACTGTACATCTGAAACAATGAAGCAGGCAGTTGTCTCTCTTGTCCTTCCCTCTGACAGCTCAGGACAGCATATGCGTGGGCTGTCTCCTTTTATCTGTGCTGCGGCCCTGGGAGCTAGGTTTGGCAGAGAGGTACTGACCAGCCCAAGGTCATCCAATGAGATTCATGGCTGAGTGGGGATCTGAACAGGGGCCTCCCCAGTCCAAATCTTCACTCTCCCTACGTTGCAGCGCTCACTCCCTGCCTTTTGCTCTCTTTACCTAGGGAAGCTTAAGCCACCATAAGCTTGTTATCCTTTGAGGGGCCACCAAATTCTTTGCTGGCTTTGCTGCAGCAGACTTAGTGGGGCTGCTGCTCTGTAATTTACTCGTACATTGTAGGTTGAATATCTCCACCTTCCCTTACTAAACCCCCTAATGTCCCATTCCCCTTCTGTATTCAGGAGCCTGATCCTTCCCTTTGCATGCTTCTGTTGTTTTCCTTTTAAAAAAATGCTTTTCAGGCTTATACATTTCACTTAATTCACAATCATTTTAACATTTCAGAACTTGACTTCCTTCCCCCTCTTTCTGCGGTTCCTTAAATTTCTTTTTAATATCTTCTGCATATCCTAATTAACTTAATTTGCTCATTTATTAATCTGTTTTAAATATATACTCTTATAAAACTGTAGGTTGTTACAATAATTCTGCCAATGTTCTTTTCTGTTTCTAATTTATCTGTAAATATTCAATAAACCACTTCCATTCTTTTATAAAAAATTTGTTATCTTGATTTCTTATTCTTCCGGTAAGTTCCACCGTTTCTGCGTATTCCATAAGTTTTTGTATCCATTCTTCCTTTGCTGGGACTTCTGCTTCTTTCCATTTTGGGTCGAGTAACATTCTTGCCACTGTAGTGGCATACGTGAATAAGTTTCTATACAGTTTAGGTAGTTCTGTCCCTATAATTCCCAAAAGAAAAGCTTCTGGGGTTTTTTACAAATGTTATTTTGAACATCCTTTTCAATTCATTATATATCATTTCCCAGTAAGCTTTAACCTTACTACAAGACCACCACATATGATAAAAAGAACCTTCTTTCTCTTTACATTTCCAACACTTATTTGATTTAGATTTATACATTTTTGCCAATTTACTTGGTGTTAGATAGGGCCTGTTGTTTCCAATGGACTGGGGTCCTTGTAGGTCTCTGGCTGATGTCTCAAGGTTCAAGATGTGTCTAAACCATGGGTAGGCAAACTAAGGCTGGGGGGCTGGATCCAGCCCAATCACCTTCTCAATCTGGCCCACGAACGGTCCAGGAATCAGCGTGTTTTTACATGAGTAGATCGTGTGTTTTTATTTAAAATGCATCTCTGGGTTATTTGTGGGGCCTGCCTGATGTTTTTACATGAGTAGAATGTGTCCTTTTATTTAAAATGCATCTCTGGGTTATTTGTGGGGCCTGCCTGATGTTTTTACATGAGTAGAATGTGTCCTTTTATTTAAAATGCATCTCTGGGTTATTTGTGGGGCATAGGAATCCGTTCATGTGTTTTTTCCTCAAAATATAGTCTGCCCCCCCACAAGTTCTGAGGGACAGTGGACCAACCCCCTGCTGAAAAAGTTTGCTGACCCCTGATCTAAACAGATTGGCAAAACTTCCCTCAGAAGTTCTCTGTGCTAACAGCCTTTTTCTGCCTCTTCTTCCCCCAGTTTTACTTGCAGGCCCGCTTCACGTGGCGAGGAGCTCGACTGCTGCGTCCATTGGTCCAGTTTGTGCTGCTGATGCTAGCATTGTACACAGGACTGACCCGCATCTCTGACTACCGGCACCATCCGTCTGATGTGGTTGTGGGGCTGCTGCAGGGGGCACTTGTGGCTTGCTGGGTGGTGAGTTCTGATTCTGCCCTTAGCTAGCTGACCCTTTCTCTTGTCTTTTGCGGGGAGGAGAGTGTCGCTCCCTGTTGAGGTTTGAGAGAGAGAGAGAGAGAGATCTGGAGATGCGGAATCCCCACCTTCTGACTGCTCTGCAAATCTTACTTAGCAGCTCCTCCTCATCAGAGGGGAGAAAACCATTTTAAGCAAGTGAGTTGAGATTCTTTGGGAGTGAAATTCTGCAACCGAAGTTCAGTTCTGTGTGACTTTTCGGCACTCGTACGAAGGCAAAGTTTCCTAACCAAGCCTGCTTCTAGTTCTCTCTGTGGGGATTGGTGTTTCTGGCAAATTGTATTTGTTTATGCATTAAGAACACTTACGTTGCATTTCTGTTAGGAAACGTTAAGAAAAAGTCACCTGTTTACAGGAGTGGGAAGGGCAACCACATACCTCCAGGAAGCCCCAAATAAGAGCCTGAAGGCAGCAAGGCCTCTCCATGATTTGTCCACCAGAAACACATATTCAGGGATAGACTGCCTCTGAACATGGAGGGTTGATTCAGCTATGATGGCAAATAGCCAGTAACAGACATGCCCAAGAGGGATTTGTTTATTCCCTTTTTAAAGCTGGACAAGCCAGGAGCCATGCCCACATCTTGTGGCAGCAAATTGAGTCAGATATGGCTCGTGCCAAAATGTTTATGCAGAACCCAGGAATGAAGATTCCTTGCTTGTAACCTGCTAGCTTCTTTGAGTGACCCTGAATGAGTTCTAGTATTGAGAAGAGAGAAGCTCTAATCCGTCATTTCATAAATTTCAATATGCTGTCACCTTCTGTCTTCTTTTTTCTAAACTATAGTGCCCCAAACACATTAGCTTTTTCTTGTAGGGGAAAATGCCCTTAATCTCTGATTGTTATGGCTTTCCTTTGCTTCCCCCTTTTTCTATAAAGTTGCAAGAAGCTCTGTGGTTGCAATGCTTGGCAGGTTGTGTTGCGTGTTATACTAAGTGATGCAGAAAAATCCACTCGGATGAAGGGAGCAGGGGTTTGGTGTGAGCCGCCAGGAAATAACGAAGGATGGGCACACCCTTGCTAGCATTGTGTGCAGGCGGCCGGGAGGAAATCCTTCAATTTCCTACCCTGGCTATTGGGATCCCAGCTCCACCCATCAGCCTCCATTCAAGGAAGTCTGTTGAACCCTGGAGTTGAGATTCCTAGGAGCAGGGAATAGAATCAAGGAATCTTAGCTCAGTAATCTTATCCCTCGCTGTGAAGGAGGAATGGGTTCTTAATGTTGATAGTGAGCAGCGAAGAATTATGCACACAGTACACGTACGTGGCTCACTAGTGTAATGGGATTGATGACATGAACCTTTGAAATGTTTTTTGTGCCTAAACTGATGTCAAGGGAGGGTAGGGACAATGTTTAATTTCTAAAAGGAAAAGTAGAGAGCCATGGAAGGATGCCCTGTTCCTTAACGCCGTGTGTGTTGTGGACAGGCCTGTAAAACAGTTCATTATTATGATCGCTGCATTGAAAACTCTTAGCCAGGCCTTCCATGGGCTCGGCAGTGAGGATATCCTTTGAAAAATGACCAGGTTCTGTAGTGAAGTAGTCTGTGACCAGTGCCAGATTTACATACAGTATAAGCTAAACAAGCTATAGCTTAGGGCCCCACTCTCTTGGGGACCCCAAAAAATTTAAAGGAAAAAAACCTGGATGTTCATTTCCAAAATATAAGATAAAAATCAAATAAAATAAAACCTACATACAGCAACAATGTTTTGTGTTGTGTTGGCTCCTACAATGTAAGTAATGAGCCCTGCCTGCTAGCCTGCAACCTACAATATCACTCATTTCTGTAATAATAATAATAATAATAATAATTTGTACCCTGCCCATCTGGCTGGGTTTCTCCAGCCACTCTGGGCGGCTTCCAACAAAGATTAAAAATACATTAAAATGTCACACATTAAAAACTTCCCAGAACAGGGCTGCCTTCAGATGTCTTCTAAATTTAGGGTGCCTCCATTCTGCATGGACTGGTTGCATGGCAACATGTGCAAATGGCTTTAGATACCTGTTAGGTCCATAAATGACCATATAGCATATATTCAACACAAAAAACAGTGACAATTTGTTGTTGACAAAGGACGGCTGGACATATACAGGGCCCCATTACCTTCAGTAGCTTAGGGCCTCATCAAACCTCAATCCAGCCCTGGCCACAACTTCCAACAGCCCCAGCCGGCACGGCCTTTGGTCAAGCGGGATGGAAGTCAAAATTATCTCAAGCTCACCAGGTTGGGAGAGGCTGCCTGCATGAGATTCTATGTTCAGTCAGGACTGGCAAAGTTGTGTGCTGTGCCTGCTCCTTCTGCAGCTACCTGCCTCTTGAGAGGGCATTGGGTGAGCCTGGCTATCTCTGACGCCCTCTTTCTCTTCTCTCCGTTTTCAGGCCTTCCATGTATCCAGCATGTTTCACTGCAAGCACCAGCCTCGCCACCTGCCGCCAGTCGCCTTGGACACTCCCAGTTCAGACTGCCACACCGATTGCTAGGGCATGTGTGCTGGGGGTCAGAGACGCACTGTTGTTTGGCTGACTACAGGAGCCTTGAACTGTTGCGCCAGTTGCTTGGCACTCGCTGCCCGCATCAGCGCCAGTCTGGGCAGCCACTGCCTTGCCACCTTGCTAGGGGCCACTAGGGAGCTTTTGCTCACTGCCATGCCAACATCCACTGCTGCACCAGCTGCTGGGAGCACCAAGAAGAGGGAAAGGCTGTTAGGGCACCTCTGTGCCAGAGATCCCTCTGTCTTCCCAATGATGGACAGGGCACTCTTGTTTTCCCTTTGGGTTTGTACACTTGAGACCACTCCTTTATGAACTTTCCCTCTATCAAAGGATCCATCACTGCTGCCACTTTGGGTTTCCTTTTAGATGATATTCTCAAGAGAAGGAAATCCCCCATCTTATTTTATTTTTTCAACACAGGAAGATCTGCCCTTCCTCCTCTCTAGTACTGGGATGATCTCACCCTTGAAACATTATGCACTCGGGCTGCGTTGCTAGGAGAAAGGCTAGTGGCTCCTTGAGAATCCAGTCTCTGCTGCGCTAGTGATGTCTCTCAGCTGCTTGAAAGGCCAAGCGATGTGTCTTGCAGAAGCATATTCATGAAGGAATGAACCACAGGCTTGGGGGGTGGAGTTGGGAGGACAGTGCCTGGAAAACCGTGGAGGACCTGCAAGTTCATACCAGGGCACCCTGACGCTGCCAGATACCTCCCACCCTCCACCCCACCCAACGCTTCCGCTCCCCATAATGTGAAACGTGTTGTGTTTTTTTGTAATAAATGGTACTGACAATCGTCTAGATTAATAACTGACTTACGGGAGGGTAGACTGCATGGACCTCAGAACATCCCTCATAGCCGAGCACGAGATTCCAAAAGCACTGGCGGCGCCGTTTGGATCCTGTGATTCCGCTGGCGCCGGATTTGGTACCTGATACAGAATGAGTTCCTGAGATATTTTACCTTTCACTCAAAACAAAAAGTGGTTGTTTAGTTCTCATGGTTGTGAAGATTCAAACCCTTTCCCTTTCCTATCCAGTCACACCTTTCTTTGAAATCACACCAATAATGCAGTTGTTTTGAGGATAAATGCAATAGGCAGGATTACAGTATAAAGCTGGATTGGATCCTAAGGAGCGATGAGGAAATAAGTTTGTGTTTCTCAGCCAGCAAGGCATCCCCTCCTGAGGGGCTATGAGGGGGGGGGTGAGTGTTTCCAAAAATATATATGTTACAATGTGAGTAAAAAACTAAAAGTTGTGAAATTTCAAATGAAAGAATTACAGGAGCCAGGTTTGAAGGGTTCTGTGGTGTTTTTATGTTGGCTGAAAGCAGGGGACATGGGTTAAAAGGGGTTGAGAAATAAGGAGGAAACAGAGCAGTATCTGTGCATGATCTTCCTTGCTGCTAAGGCAAGGAATGCAACCTTACACATAGAATCATATAATGGGGGATCACTGTAATGCTAAAAAAAAAAAAGCTTGCAGCTACCTCTTATAAGCTGTGATGTTGAACCCAGTTTTAGAGGCTTGGTTCCACTGAAATCAGCAGCCTGAAACTTGTATAACCAGACACAGGATTGTAGCAATCTTTTAAGTGCTGGATGCAGTTCAAGCTCAACTGGTTTGCTTCTGTTCACATGCATTGTTGGGAAAAGTGGAATGGGTCACTGGGTTGCTGTTGCGCTTGATGTGTTCTGGGGGATCCCCAGGACTCTTCAGCAATTTGTCTGGGGTTCCTGAGTGAGAAGGAAAATGGCAGATCAGTTCCCCTCAAAGACCGTTTGTCCACCATTACCAATGTTTGCCTGCTTGTACTGAAGTGCCATTTGTGTGTGTCCACTGCTTCAGACTTTTGGACTTTGCTTGAGGCAAACTTCTCTCAAAGGCTGACTTGTCACTGGTCTAGTTCAGTGGTTCCTAATTAGCTAAATACTGTGGCCCGTCTGTTTTTCAAAAGCCAAGCCATGGACCCCCTACTTTTGATCATTTTGATATCACTCTGGGAGTTTTCCATCCAGCCAGAGCAGAGGAAAGATCTCTTGGGAGCCAAGTGAAGCAGCTGTTCTGGACGGCTGTGGAGGAGAGTGTGCTCTGAAGCGTTGAGGCCTCTCAAAGCCAAATTCAGCTCATGGGTTGATGGGAGTAGATGGGCCTCTTTTCTGCTGCTCATTTGGGACTGACAAATTCATTGTAGGTCATGGGTAGGGGATGTTCCTGGTCCAAGGGCCCCATTCCATCCTGAGGGTAAAATGCCAGTGGAGGGCAGGAGCCAGAGACAAAACTGGGTAGAGTAAGGGATGCAAGAAGGCTGATTTAATAGTAATAATAATAAATGTTATTTATACCCCACCCTCCCCAGCCAAGACAAGGCTCAGGGCGGCTAACACCAGGTATAAAAACAATTGATTAAAATACAACTTAAAAACAAGATTAAAATACAATATTAAAATGCAGCCTCATTTCAGTAGAAACTCAAATCAAAAACTTTTTGGGGATGAAATGGTCAAATCTTCACCAAGGCCAACTATCCAGACTGGTCCTACGTGGGCCAGAAAAAAGCCAGGGGAGTCCCCAAATAGGAGGTCCATCACAGGAGGGAGGAGGAAAGATGAGGAGGGGATCAAGTTGATTCCAAGCCAAAGGCCAGGCAGAACAACTCTGTCTTACAGGCTCTGCGGAAAGAAATCAGTTCCTGCAGGGCCCTGGTCTCATGAGACAGAGCGTTCCACCAGGCCGGAGCCAGTGTTGAAAAGGCCCTGGCTCTGGTTGAGGCTAATCTGACTTCCTTAGGGCCCGGGACCTCTAGGGTGTTGCTATATGTGGACCTTAAGGTCCTCCGCAGGGCATACTGGAAGAGGCGGTCCTGTAGGTACGAGAGACACAGACACACCTTTCTGTTCTCCGTCCAGGCATCCTCAGAGTTCAAAATGTTACACCTGTGTTCAGTTGGCTGGACTAGGAGGGGTCTTGAGACCTGCCATGTGGGTGCTCCTGATCTTGGGTAGCATTAAGGACTGTCTTTTGCTGAGTTTGAACTTTCAAGGGCAGCCAGCCTCAGAGGAGTAGCTGAAAGTAACTGTTTGGTAAGGATGAGTACAAGCTCAGAACCAAACAGAGGGCAGCCCATGTAGCTTTCTGGGGGAGAGGAGAGTGAGCTACAAAACTGCCATCATGGCAGGAGAGCCGGCTTTGAGACAGCAGCTTGCTCAGAGGCTTAGTAAAGTTGGCCGGTCTGAAAGAGCGACAGTGCTGCCATTTCTCAGCAGTCCTGTGCCAACTGCATATAATGTTCAGCCCTAAAGGTGAGGAGGGAAATAAAAAAAACCAGAGACACTGGGCAACTGTAACTATCAGGATTGTTCCACAAACAGAGGGGAAATGAGCTAGTTTTCTTTTTCTCAGAGCAGGAGCACTCTGGCTCCATGTAACAAGAACCCAACTTTGGCATTCCTACCACTGAGCTTCACGTTCATTCTCGACTCATCCCTCATCCAAAAGGAAGAGGTGGGGAGGCTGTTTGTGAAGTAGCATTCAGAGAGATGCCCTCTGCAATCTGTAGTGCTGCCACTCTGGAGCAGGTTTATCACCTAGCGAAGGGATGGGGAACCTTTGGCCCGCCATCCAAATGTCGCTGAACTACAACCTCCATAAGCCCCAGCATGTGTGGCCAATGGCCAGGGATTATGGCAGATGTAGTTCAGCATCTGGACAGCCAAAACTGCCCCCCCCCGACTTAGCACACTTGGCCGTTAGGCATTTTGCTAGCTATTTAAACATATAACGCGGTTGCGGTAAACGACTGTATATGCGTCCACCAGAAGGAAGGAGTGTGTGTTCTGGCCCTCTGCAACTTGGCTGTTTATTAGCAGGGGTTCTCCTCACAGTGAGCCAGTGTGGTGTAGTGGTTAAGAGCGGTAGTCTCGTAATCTGGGGAACCGGGTTCGCGTCCCCGCTCCTCCACATGCAGCTGCTGGGTGACCTTGGGCCAGTCACTCTTCTCTGAAGTCTCTCAGCCCCACTCACCTCACAGAGTGTTTGTTGTGTGGGAGGAAGGGAAAGGAGATTGTTAGCCGCTTTGAGACTCCCAAGGAGATTGTTAGCCGCTTTGAGACTCCTTAGGGTAGTGATAAAGCGAGATATCAAATCCAAACTCCTCCTCTTCTTCTTCTCCCCCCTTCTGTACCTCAGGCACTTTCCTGGCCAGTTACGGCTCCAGGAGGCTGCATTTCCAAGCAAGGCACAGCCACCTGTGCTTTCATCAGGAGACAATCTGATATCAACTTTCAGCAACATGAGAGAGGTTTCCCAGCCCTCCTTTCCCACTCGACTGGCTACACCATCCCCCAGCCTGTTCTTCATAACAGCCTCTCCCAGGAGAGCTGCTGAAACCATTCAAGGCCATTCTCAATGGCTCCTTTATGCAGTGTCCGGGGTGTGCTGGAGGCATGTGACTTCCAGGGCCAAGACTGGGGGTGGGAATAGTCCCACGCTGGCACCACCGAGTCCTTCCTGGCATCCTGCCCAGCCTCTGTTCGAGGAAGGGACAAACAACACTTAACATTTTCTTGCTGGTCTTTTGCACAGGTCTCTTCATGTGCAAAAAAGGGACGCGGGTGGCACTGTGGGTTAAACCACAGAGCCTAGGACTTGCTGATCAGAAGGTCAGCGATTCGAATCCCCACGACGGGGTGAGCTCCCGTTGCTCGGTCCCTGCTCCTGCCAACCTAGCAGTTCGAAAGCACACCAGTGCAAGTAGATAAATAGGTACCGCTCCAGCGGGAAGGTAAACAGCATTTCCGTGCGCTGCTCTGGTTTGCCAGAAGCGGCTTAGTCATGCTGGCCACATGACCCAGAAGCTGTACGCTGGCTCCCTCGACCAATAAAGCGAGATGAGTGCTGCAACCCCAGAGTCGGTCACGACTGGACCTAATGATCAGGGGTCCCTTTACCCTTTTACTTCATGTGCGAAGTGCAAGGGGGGTGGCATGCTGAAGGGCAGCAGAATCTGGAGGCAGAGCAATAGAGGCTCTTTGAAAAGGGGCTTGCTGCTTGCAGTGTGATGGCACGTCTCACTTTCACCTCTAGTCAACAGTTTCTGCAGGGTGGGGTTTTTGTATGGTTTCAGAAACCTGCAAAACTTGCTTGACCAGTGGCAGGCGGGGGGGGGGGAGATGTGTGTGCATCTATGTGTATAATATGGGGTGTAATGCTTATCTCAGACATTTTGAAACTCTGATTTAAATCAGTTGCCTTTCTTTAGCCAGAATAGGAAGCAGGCAACACCCACTAGTAAGTGCTCCTGCACCAGCCCATCATCTTAAGGCGCAGGCCTCGCCCCTTTTGATAAGGCTTGTGCCCTGTGTAAAAGGGGGGAGGGAATGGAATGTGGATTTTCCACCTCGGGCACCAAAATATCTTGGGTTGGCCTTGGCAATGTGACTTTTAATGGTTATCTGAGTCTCACAGCATTCCTGCCAGGTCAATGTAATTCCCTTTTTTACAGCGGGAGAACTGGAGCTGAAATAGACGCTACAGAGCTGGAGCTGGAGCTCTGGGAGACTGTCCAGTGAAGTGGGTTGACGGTAAATTCTGGACACGCAGCAGGAAGTACACAATTGCATAAAGCACTTAACGGACCCAAAGCAAAGTCCAACACCCGCTCGCATAGTTGGCCGGTGTCCAGCAGCACACAGAGCAGAAGCAGCTTGCCAGGGGATTCTACAAAGTCACAAACAGGACTTGTGTATAGAATTACAAGTCTGGAATTCACCTGAAATTCCTGCAGTCCCTAAGACTCACTGTCGTAAATCACTGGATCTCTTTCTCTGCCTAAAACCAAAAGACATGCAACCCAGGTTAATGGTTTATTGGATATTTACAGATAAATTGCAAACAGATGAAAAACATTGGTAGGATTATTGTAGTAACCTGCAGTTTCATAAGAGTTTATATTTAATGCAGATAATCAAATGAGCAAATTAAATGAATTTGGATATGCAGAAGATGTTAAGAAATAAAGTTAAGGAACCACAGAAAGGGGGAAGGATGTCAAACTTTGAAATGTTAAAATGATTGTAAAATTAATGAAATGTATAAATTTGAAAAGTATAAATAAAAACTTTTTAAAAAAAATACATGCGACCCAGGCGTCTTGGCTGCAAGTTCCCCTTGAGGAACTTTCAGACAGGAGCTTATTGTGAGATTAGTGCTCCTTGTACATGCAATTTTTTTCACAGCATCTACACGACGTCATGACATCAAAATGCCACTCCATATTCCCTCGCCTCATTTAATCCAGATTTAATCCCCTGCAATACAGTGGTACCTTGGTTTGTATACGTCTTGGTTTGCATATGTTTTGGATTACAAACACATCAAACCCAGAAGTGCATGTCCCGGTTTGCAACCTTTTTTTGGATTACAACCCTTTTGGGGGGGGGGGATTATGAACAAAAGGTTTTTGGAGGCGATTCGAATCCCCGTGATGGGGTGAGCTCCCGTTGCTCGGTCCCTGCTCCTGCCAACCTAGCAGTTCGAAAGCACATCAAAGTGCAAGTAGATAAATAGGTACCGCTCCGGCGGGAAGGTAAACGGCGTTTCCGTGCGCTGCTCTGATTTGCCAGAAGCGGCTTAGTCATGCTGGCCACATGACCTGGAAGCTGTACGCCGGCTCCCTCGGCCAATAAAGCGAGATAAGCACCGCAGCCCCAGAGTCAGCCACGACTGGACCTAACAGTCAGGGGTCTCTTTACTTAGAAGCATCTTTGGTCTAGCGCAGAGACTCCCTCAACACAAGTGGAAAAGAAATGTTTGCATGCTATTGCTGGGGAGGAGACACAACAGGAAGTACACAAGCATTCAATGCTCCCAAAGCAAACATGCAGATGCCTACAAATGTGGTGTGATGGAGAGGTGAACTAGCTTTTATTTCATTCGTCAGTTAGCCTCTTTTCTCACATTATCGTAAAGCAGTGATTCCCAAACTATGTGCTATGAGAGTTGCTGAATATGCCATATTCAGAATATGGTCTCAAGTTACAGGGTTTGATTTCCTAAGAATCTCAGCTTCTCAAAGAAGCAAGGTTCAGAGCCTGATTGTGGTAAAGACATACTTCAAAGCATATGGGAGAAGCCTGTTGAAATCCCAGAAGCTGGAGCAGGTGCTGAATAAGATCTCCAGTGTCACTGGTTGGAAGCAGGGCTTCCGGGTACTGTATTTACCCATCCCCTTAACTGGCAGAAGCAGAAAACAGTACCGTGCACAAGCCGTAAAGCAGCACAAGGAATTATGCAAAATAAATCATGTAAATATGTTGAATTTGCATAAATTATACTGAATGCAGTATTTTATTCAGCTCTTTTTGTCACAGAATTTGGGTTACCTCGGTGCAGAATTTTAGGATTGTTTATTTGTTTTGAAAATGATTACAGACACCCCTCCGTGCTAAGTGCATTAAAAAGGTAAAAGGTAAAGGACCCCTGGACAGTTAAGGCCAGTCAAAGGCGACTAGGGTTGAGGTGCTCATCTCACTTCAGGCTGAGGGAGCCGGCGTTTGTCCCCAGACAGCTTTCCAGGTTATGTGGCCAGCATGACTAAACCGCTTCTGGCGCAACGGGACACCGTGACGGAAGCCAGAGCACACAGAAACGCCATTTACCTTCCCACTGCTGGGGTACCTATTTATCTACTTGCACTGCCATGCTTTTGAACTGCTAGGTTGGCAAGAGCTGGGACAGAGCAGCGGGAGCTCACCCTGTTGTGCGGATTCGAACCGCCAACCTCCTGATCGGCAAGCCCAAGAGGCTCAGTGGTTTAGACCACAGCGCCACGCGCATCCAATGCACTAGCAGCAACTTGCATACGCTCTGTTTTTATCAGGGGTAAATGCACTTTCTTTACAAGACATGACATGAACAAGTAGGGTGCATGGGTTTACTTTAGTGGTATCCACCACTGAGGAATATTGTTGTAAACAAAATCTGCCCTTACTCCCCTATGGGGGATACAAGAACCCTTATAGAGTCCTTTGTAGGTTCTCCATTGGTAGGAAAAAATAACACAGGCCAACCAGAGAATATTGAGAAGCAAAGCAGCTAGTAAGCCTGATCTTTATTGAACTGTTGCAACACGGTGCTCCCCTCACACGCAGGAGAAAGGAGGAGGACCCAGAGCAAAGGTGTACCTGCCCTTATATAAAGGTAAAGGGACCATTGCCCACCCTGGAGTCTAAGACCACCCCCAGAAACCTCATACATACATCACAGAAGGGGTGTAGCCCAAGACTAGCCCCCAGATACATCATACCTACATCACAGAAAAGGCGGTCTACAACAAAAAATTGAATGTTGTTGTTTTTCCTGTCTGCCAGGTTATCTGATAATGCCTTATCTGATTGCCTTTCCTGGTAGTCTGGCCATTCCTTTGAGATGGTAATCACTTAATACCTGAAACAATAGGAAGGTTCCCCCACCCCCTCCCTCCTTGCAGAGAAACTTTTGGTCAGTTTGGGGAGTCAAAATGGTTTTGGGACTGTCTTCCTCTGCTGCTCCAGACATGTGGTTTATATATTTATGTACGTGTTTGCTTGGTACATTTATGAACATTTCTTATATATATGAGACCTTAAATTTTTTTATTACAAATATGACCTTAAAAGCTGCTGGAAATGTGTGGTTTCCTTTCACCTTGAAACAAGTCCATGCAACATCCAAGACAACTTCTTTTCTGCATAAACATCCACCTTGACATTATATCTGAATGTAACACTTCCAGGGAAAGGTATTGGTCAGAACCATTAGTGCCTGCCTTACAGAATCGTACTGTGGGAACATTACTCACATATTCATATCTTAGCCCTACTCATCTAAGCTTTCAAGAGATGTCACCAGAGGGGTGGGTGGGATTTTGGCAGCCTGGTGAATTCCTCTTTTCTGCCTTGATTTGTGCTGGATCTCCCCACCACCACCTTCTCAGAATGGGTTTCAGGTGATACTGCAGGAACAATTGATCCTTTGAGTTCTTCCTGACACCACCCTCACGTTTGCCTCCAGCTCCGGGGCAGAGAGGGGAGTGTCTTCCCAGTCAGTCAGCAGAGCTTGGCTGAGGTTGCCAATGTATGAGGGGAAAGGATCTGGGGGAGAGGGGGTAGATCTTTCTAACTGGGCTTGGACAGAGTCTGCACCCCTTATTTCTGCTCGTGATGGGAATTGTAGTCTCAAAAACATCTGGAGGGCCGTGTTTGAGGAAGCCTTCCCAATAGAACGCAGCAGATTTAATTTCCACCAGTTGTGGGAGAGAGTTTCTGCTCTGGGAATGCCTATTGATTAGTAGAGATATGCTGCCCGGAGCAGTAAGCCATGCAGAGGCACAACATGTGACCACTGAGGGCAGGTGACCTTGGCACTTCTTGGCATTGAACATGTTTGGATCATCTAGTCACTCCCAATGTTCAAAATTATGTAGAAATTCAGTAGAATCATCTGCCCTTGGACAAGGCTGTGTGGAAAGAGCCACACCAGAGCTATGCAAAAGCTTTTGACTGTTTGATTGGTTTCTTGCAGCACATTAGTGGTGCCCTATGGGGGAATGTCTGGTATAAGTCTTTGGGCTCAGGCTGGCATTTGAGGCCTTGGGCACCATCTTCTGGTGATAATACACATTACATGTTCTCTCACTTTCCTTTTTTCCTAAAAGATAATAGGACTACCTAATCGGTATACAGTACTTCTTCTTCTTCTTCTTCTTCTTCTTCTTCTTCTTCTTCTTCTTCTTCTTCTTCTTCTTCTTCTTCGTCAGTCCTTAACAAGTAATTCAAACCACATAGTTCTCATCTCTCACCATTATTGCATACAATTATTTTTAAACAGTTAGATTCTGGGGCTTAATTCAGAAGCTATATGTTTTGTCCTAGAACGGGAGATTGGATTGTTCTCATCCTAAGTATGTGAAGCAGTCTTCTCAAAGCTGATGCTTTCCAGATGTTTTGGAATTGTTGTTGTTGTTTAGTCGTTCAGTCATGTCCGACTCTTCGTGACCCCATGGACCAGAGCACGCCAGGCACTCCTGTCTTCCACTGCCTCCCGCGGTTTGGTCAAGCTCATGCTGGTAGCTTCGAGAACACTACAACACCCTACATGCTGATGACACAAAGCCCTACTTCTCCTTTACATCCACAGGTGTGGCAGTGGATTGGCTGGGCCATTGTCTTGGCTCAACAATGGACTGGATGAGAGCCAACAAACTGAAGCTCAATCCAGATAAGACCGAGCCACTGTTGATTGGTTGTTCCCTAGACCAGATGGCTGGGAAGTGGCCTGCTCTTGATGGGGTTACACTGCCTCTGAAGGAGCAGGTACACAATTTGTGGGTACTTCTCAATCCATTGCTGTGACTTGAGGCTCAGGTGGCCTCAGTGGCTCAGAGTGCCTTCCATCAGCTTTGGCTGGTGCCTCAGCTACGCCCGTTTAGACAGGGATAGCTGAACTTCTGTCGTCTGTGCTCTGGTAACCTCTAGGTTAGATTACTGCAACATGTTATACGTTGGACTGGTTCAGAAACTTCAGCTGGTGCAAACTTCAATGGCCAGGTTGCTCACCGGGGCAAGACAGACTGAGAATATTACTCCAATCCTGGCCCAACTGCACTGGCTGCCAATTAGTTTTCAGGCCGAATTCAAAGTGCTGGTTTTGATTCATAAAGCCTTAAATGGCTCAGGACCACAATACTTCCAGGACTGCCTCTTCCCATATAAATTGGCCCCGACTCTGTGTTCATCATCTGACGCCCTTCTTCATGCATCTCCTCCCCAAGAGGTCTGGAGGGTGGTAACACAAGAGTGGGCCTTTTCTGCAGTGGCTCCTCATTTGTGGAATATTCTCCCTGGGGAGGTTCGGCTGGTGCATTCATTGTACACCTTTAGGCGCTAGGCGAAAATGTTCCTCTTTGGCTGATTGGCATCTGATGCCCTTTTAAATGTGTTGTTGAACGGGTGGGGTTATTGGTTTGCTGCTGTTGTTATTTTTAGTATTTATCTTGTGGTTTTTATATTGTGATTTTCTGTTGTGAACACCCTGAGATGGAGGGTGGTATACAGTCATACCTCGGGTTGAAGTAGCTTCGGGTTG